TAATGTAAAGGCACCAAACATGTGTATCTTGAGTTAAAGCGATGTATTGTTTTCATCCATCTGTCTTTTTACTGCATGAAAAAAAAAAATCATGTTGCTGCCTCTTGGTCAGGTCTCCCTTGAAAAAGAGGTTTTTAACCTCAATAGGACTTACGTGACCTACTGGTGAAATAAGTCACCTGTTCTTGAATTTTGTGTTTCTTTTTAATTGCTTATTTTATTACTATACTTATAATTCAATAATCCATTTGACTTAGTCTTGGATGTTTAATTTATATGTTTCATTTAAATAATCCTGTGACAGACTGGCGACCTGTGCGGGGTGAACCCGGCCTCTCGTCCAGACCGTTAGCTGGAGAGGCACCAGCAACCCTAACAACCCCACTAAGGGACAAGGGTGTACAGAAGATGGATGGATGGATTTAAATAACCCACCTCTCTCCCTCATCCATTGCTCAGGTTGGATTGTTGCCATGCAACTGATCAAATCTAATAAAGTGACCTGTACATACATTGTAAGGAGCTTCCAATTGAGAGTTTACGATGTGAAATCGCACCCAAGGAGTGTGTTTTAAGGCAACCAATAAAAAGATTGGGCTGAAGCCAATGTTTGTCAGTGCCTATAAATGCTTCGCTCGGGTAATTTTCTTTCATCCTGCGGCTGCGTACACACACAACAAGCTCGCACTCTGCCCTGACAAATATCTGCGTTCTTGCCTGCGATTAAAGGAGCCATGCTCCTGCTGCTTTTGGCTGCTAGAAGGTGTAACCTGAATGTACCCTTGGCTGAACGAGCCAGGCAAACCGATAGTCACTGGATGGCTTTTCTGTCCTGACATATTTCCAAATCCGCTACTGATTCATTGATTGTCTCAATGTGCATTCGTGTAGCTTCTTTTGAAAAGCAGAGTCTGTGGACGTTGACACCAGCAGTGGGGACGTCTGTGCTTGCAGTCGTTTTTTTGTTGCTGATATTTTGCGTTTTGAGATGGTACTTTAGATCTGAATAACTTCGGTAACAGGATAACTCCTTTTCCCACAATGGTAATCTTTCCAAGTGTCCCATCAGATCTTTTTTTTGAATGCAAAGATTAATTTGTGGGGTATTGCTGTTGTTTGCAGATGCCAATTGTGTGTCCAATTAAAAGCTCGTGCATATGTCATCAAACTGACACATGATGAAAATTGCATTATTTTGTTGGCAGAGAGAAATCCGCCTTACTTTCTTGATACCTCTGTGCTCTGTCTAAAAAGCTCTGACCAATCACACGTGTTTTGTGATTATATTGTTTTAAAACATTTTCTTTCCCTTTTCTATAACTTTCCCCTTGCTGTGCTCTTTGGTCTTCATGTCGTTTCTTCTCTAATGTGCAAATCTGCGACGCCTTCACAGAACTGATTTATGCTGATATTAAATTACAGACGGGTGGACTCTGTTTACTCATTAGTTGACTGCTGAAAACAGTTGGTTGCAAAGGATATTACTGAGGGGTAATAAAGAAAACATGGATAAATTAGATGGGGGTTTTTTTTCTTGTAAAAAGTTTTTGAGGTATTAGATGCACATAATTGTACAATTGTTCACTACTTCATGTGGGACTGACTCGTTAAAACCACATCAAACTGTTAAAGTTCGTGGTTTCAAACTGAAAAAAAAAAAAAAAACGTGAACACCTTACAAGAACTGAGATACTTTGTATAAAAATGCTTACTAACTTTCTTTTCAGGCCCAGAGTTTTCTAATATCTGAGCAAAGTAACAAGCAATGTGAAAAAAAAAAAACATTAAAAAATCCTATTTCTTTTGCTCTTCGCTGCAAACTTTAAATGCATCGTGTCTAAAACTGAAGTATTGACAAACTTGAGTAATGCACCATGGGTGTTTTTTAGAAAAAGGTCGCTTGCTGTGGAACACAGGTTGGGAACAAATATAATTGAGATTTCAAAGAATGTCCACCTGAAAGTACAATAAGGAGAAAGGAAGCAGAGAGGCGGATGTAATACGGGGAAAGCAGAGCCAGGTAATTCTGTCTCAAGTATAAACATATTTTACAGTTATGCCCACGTATTATAAATCAGGTAGGCTTCCCTTAGGCTTTTGCCATTTACTTTGCATTTCATCAGCATCTGCAGAGAATTACATCTTCCTCTGTAAGCAGAAAACCTTGCCAAGGCTGACTTGTCCCAAAAACTGAAACATTTGGGGGGGTTTAATGGTTTTTGTATCCTGCAGATAAATATCTATTCCTGGGCATTTACATGCAGCTATGACTTTTGTAAAACTTTGAAAAATAACTTTTTCAAGCCTCGTCAATTCGTTCTGGCTGCACAGATGATATTTTTAAACGATGTGATGTGAAATTGTTGTGCACAATGGGCCTCCGGCTATTCAGGCATGAAAGAAATCTATCTGCTAATGCAGAAAGAACATAATCCTCAGATTTTCTCTTAACGGGGTGCTTGAAGACTGACTAATAGGGTAATAAGTGCCGTTTAAGAGGATTATGCTTTGTTTCAACTAAATTGGATTACTAACCCCTGATTTTGCAGTCTTTGGTGTTGAGCAGGACCATGAGCAGAAGTTAACTTTAGTGATTGTCACTAAAGTCACTTATCACTAATCATGCGATCACAAGAGCATAGAGCTAAAGATCTCAGATATATCAAGGTTAAAGGAGACAGAGATAAATATTTGTAAGAACTTAGAAAAAAACAAAACAAGAAAATTTAATTTTTTCATGCAAAACCTCAGAACCATCATGGGAGTTTATAAGGTAAAAGGGAAGTCCTATAGTTTTTGGTGAATTTTCTGGCTGCTACATGCCAACAAATTGTGAAAAATGTCACTGTTTTATCAAGGGATTGTAAATGCAAACTGAATTAAGGGCATTAAGAAGATACAGTTAACTGCAGTCTTGCAATCTCCATCTGCCTCAATATATTCCATCATGTTTTTCAGCTTTCAAAGGTTTTCTGCAATATATTTGCCCTTAAGGAAACTTTAATTCAAACAGCAGTCTAAATATTAAAATGACAAAATGCGAAACTTGCATTTTACATTTTGAACGGCACAGACCTTAAACAGAACAGTTCCCAGTTAATATTGTTTACACCGATCACAATAATTAACTCAAATTAAACACCACCTATGAATGCACTCACAAATAAAGCATATTTGTGCAGGATATCACAAATGTGACGTCAGTTTGTTCTGTGTTTACCTGACTACTCACCTGACGACAGCTGTGGTACTCCTGGTTATCTCAGTCAGCGTAATGTAAACATAAACACTGGATCTCAAAGCTTCTCTAAAGTACCGTGTTGGGTGCAGACTTCAGCAAAGCAACATTATTTATTTATTTATTTTTTTTAATTTAAGAACAGCATGGAGGGAGAAATAATGTGTGACGCACGTATCTGTGGCCAGAACATGAGGAAAAATTGTCAAAAGTCTGGGATTTAACTTTTAACGAGCTCCTGACTCCCTAAAGAGACTGAGAAATGTCACTCTGAGACTCTGATATACTGCTCACATCATTACCAGCGCTGCCCTTGACTGTCTGACTTCCCCCTCCCCATGTCAACTATCCAAACAAGCAGCTGCTGATTAGCTGATATCATGAAGCCCCCTTTTTTCCTCCGTCTTAGCTGCCCTTGGATTTACATTGAATTCAAAGTCACTGAACAGACTCTGAAGTAAGTTCGTTGCTCTGGGCTTTGAGAAATGATTTTTATTAGCCTTACTTGATAGACTTTGAACCAGTAATTATCTATTGCTTAGTTAAGTCATAACCTCGCCATAGGATCAACGCTGTGGGAAGCAGAGGGAGTAAAGCATGTGCTGTAGAAAGATCATCTTATGGTGCGATATTCAGAGCATGTATGCAGTTGCTACTTGGTAGAGAAAATTCAGCAACTTCAACAAGTTTACACTGAAGCCGAAAACTAGATGCAAATCCACTACACTCCTGTTTAACACACCAAGTGCTGGTAATTGCCTCCTCTGAGTCCTTATGATATACAAAAGCTAATCTATTAGAAAACTGACAAAGTGACTTACATTAGAGCCTTGGAAGGATTAATGAGTCCAACTCCAGGGCTCAAGGACAGATACAAGACAAGTCAGGGGACCAACTCCTGAATGTAAAGTTACCAGCTGCCAGTCAAACAACCGTCAGCACACAAAGTCAACACAAAAACAGGATATACTTGCCAAAAGCTTCCTGTTATATACTGAACAATTATAAAGTAAATATGACCAATATTTTCATAAACTAGCTAAAAAAAAAAAGGCAAATATGTGACAAAAAAATAAATAATTGGTGAAAAATTAAAAACGGGCTTGCAAAACTGAGTCTGGATATTTTGTAAAGGCAAAATAGATAGTAAAAAAATTGCCTAACTAACAGACTGCGCTGTGCAATGAGATACAAAATCAACTCAAGAAATTAAGTGATATGTTACATTAAGTTAAAAGCTCTCTGGAAGTTAACTCCTGCAAAACATCAGATGTGAACGCTTGACTATTTGTGAGACTGGCGATGGGTCCTGCAAACATTTGTTCAGGGGAAAAGACGAATTTACACAAGAAACACATAACAGAAAAAATACCTTTTTTTCAGACCAACTCATTAGCAAAAAACAGGAAAGAAAAAATAAAAATATAATAATAATAATTTAAAAAAAAAAAACATTATCTAGATCAGTGGTTCTTAACCTGGGTTCGATCGAACCCCAGGGGTTCGGTGAGTCGGTCTCAGGGGTTCGGCGGAGCCTCTGCCGCGGAGGTAAAGACACACTGCGTAAAGTCGTTTTGACGCCCCGCTTTGCTGCAGAGGATCACGTTACATTGCTGAGCCAATCAGAGCTGCGGAGGAGCACTGATTGAAGGAGCTCCACTCTCAGCATGGATTTGAACTTGTGTCTTTAATTACTTCAGCAAAACTCACAGTTTTTACCAAATTCTATAGTCTAAATCTGCTCCTTAGTCGCATCTTTTTGGGGTTGCTACTGCCTCTAGTGGCGTGGGGGTGATAACGCAGCTAATATAATTACATTACTAAATCAGATAAGAAGGGTTCGGTGAAGGCGCATATGAAACTGGGGGGTTCGGGACCTCAAAAAAGGTTAAGAACCACTGATCTAGATACTCAATTTAGATTGTAGATGCATGATAAATGACATTACAAGTCTGTGCCTAAATATTTCAACCTTTTTTACGAAGCCAGAGTGTGGGCGAGGCATATAGGCGAAGTAAAGTGCTGCAGGGGTTTTCCTGACCAGCAGGACATTAAATACAGGTCTCAACATTTTTTTTGAATTTCTGGTGGTATCTACATGGAAATAGCCTACTTTTTGTTTTATTGGTGTGTGTAAATGACAAATTAAAAGTAATCTAAAATTCTTCTAAATGTTAAAATTGAACTCTGGAGATGGACACCAAGCCGCCTGAAACTCTACAAGGACAAGCAGCTGTAGACAATGGGTGGGATGTAGAAAATGTGTAATTAATCCTTTGAATTAGGATAAATGAGGTGTTTCCTCATGCATGGTGAATGATACGAGCAACAAACCAGTTATTTTGTAAGTGAACTTGAAAGATCTTGGGATTTAAAATTAATCAGTTGAAATCCAAACTGTAAAGAATCAGGACCGTTTCATCTTTGGAAACAAGACCTGCTGATATAACTCCTCAGGCAATCTTATCTAACATATATCAGAGTTGTAATTATTACAGCTCCATGGTTTGGTGAGATACACATAGGCCTGCTGTGATTAATGACTTGACTTTAATTGCTTAAACCTTTGAAACATGTGGCTATAATTTTGAGAATTACCAACACCATTTATTTCTATCACTGCCATGTTGTATCCAGTTGAGCTTCCTTTTGGTAGATTTTGATTTAATTTCCAAATGCACCTCATGACAGCAAATCATCCACATTAAAAAAAAAAAAAAAAAAAAAGAAGGTTGGGAACCTCAAGTGCTAATTCGTTACATAAGCGGCATGAGCCAGAAGTATTAGTGTGCAGATCCCTCACATGTCACTTCATTAAGAACCCAGTCCTGAACTTTGTCTCTAATTAGATCTGTCAGCTCAAAGCCCAGTATGTGTGGGAACGGCACAGAGAACTGCTGAGCAGCTGAAATCCATCATGGGGGATATCCATGCAGCGTTACTGTCGGCGTGAAAAGGGAAGCGGCAGCCCGACTAACCTCGCTTTAATAGTAATGCTGGGTATGATAGCCAGCAAACATTCAGCACACCAGATTATCTCTGCTCTGGTGTTTACATGCAATATCCCCCGTCTATTCGTAAACCCGGGGCCTGCATTGATCCAGCGGCTGACGTCTTGGTGCCGTATCAGCTGTGTGACTAAACAAACACCTAGCCTCTCGATGTCACTCTCCTTAAACGCTCTCATCAAGCTGCACGTTCGTCGCCCGGACAACAAGTTATCTTGTGTTTTATAATTTAACAAAAGACGTTAAACAATTAAAAATATGAAGCTTTATTGATTTCCCAAGGGGAGATTCTCATGTTAGAACGACAAAGACAAAGGATGAATGAAACAACATGTCTGCTGCAGAACACTGGCACAAGTTGATTAAATTACGCACGTCGCAGCGACAAAAGCTGCAGGTACAGTTTGGCCGAAAAGTGTTCACAATCCCACACTGCAAAACCATAAAATCTTATTTTTGTGTAGGTTCTAGTGGAAATACCTAAAAACACTTGAAATAGGAGAAAAACAACTTTTTTCTCCTATTAAAAATAACTTTTTTTCTGGACAAAGTGTCTGCAGATCTTTGTCGAGAAAACTGAAGAAGGGGGGCTCGCCTATTAAACGATCTGTACAGAAGATGATGATTCCATCTTTAAATGATCTCCATTATCATTCAGCATGATAATGGAGATCAATTTAAGTCAATAAATGCTTAATATTGATGAAAAACATTTAGTTCCATTGGCAGATAATTTCACTGATGAAATGGAAAACAATATCTAATAATAATAATAATAATAATAATAATAATAATAATAATAATAATAATAATAATAATAATAATAATGGATTTTATTAATGATGAAATCTACATTTAAAAAAAATATCAAAGTGATTGTAGAATGAATAAACCAATTAATATAAAACAGCAACAAACAAATACTTAAAAATAATTGGAAGATTGTCTTACTTCAAGTGTAGTGCAATATTTATATTAGAAACTGGACCCAAAGTTCTTGGTAAGACTTGGTGTTTTTGCAACAACCAGCCTCCAATTATGTTATTTAGATTTTATGTGACACAGCAACACAAAGTAAGACATAATTGAGAAGAGGAAGGAAATGGATATATGCTTTTTCTGTTTTTCCTTTTACAAAAAACAAAGAATAAATCTCTCCAACTTCAATACCCCTAAATAAATTCTAGTACAACTGACTCGTCCTCCTTGAGAAGACAGTTAATTAGTAAATGGACATGTGATTCACTTGAAATGAAAAGGAGATGCACTGAAAGTTGATGTTCACACATAAGAAATATGAAAAAGTTGAAGGACTGTGAATATCTTTGAAGGCACAGTAAATCACAGTTATTTGTTAACCACTGTTGACCACAAATGTCTGGCTTTACTTTTCCATGGAATCATTTTTAAGCATGATATTAAGTGTCTGCAGATCCTTGTCCAGTTTTCTCCCATCTCTCACCACCTTGAACTGGGCTTAGAAGTATATAAATCCCTTAAAATTTGATTTTCTCCTTCAAAATTCCTAATGCCAGAAAATCCAGGAGGATAATGTTTTCCATCTGCGCTCTTCCTTAGTTTCACTCCACGATAGCTTATGCTAACCACAAAGATGGAGGACCCGGACTTCCCAGAGTGTTGTCATCACGATTTATCCTTGTCATGACAAACAGAAGCTTCTCTACATATTTTTTTTCCCCCCCAGTTTAACACTCACACCTTATGTGCTTAGGAGTTTGCAGCTTTTACTCTGACAGGATAAGTTTTGTATGAGAATTATCTCTACAATCTAAGAAATACACATGCAGATTTACATTCATTTAGCCCATCATCTGAAATAATACGCAACACTTCACACACTGAATCTTAGAAATTATTCTTTTATTCTGTTTCACAGAACAACATTTCAGAACAATTTTCTGAACAGAGGAAACTGCATAAAATACATGTGTACTTTAACATTTTCCATTTGGATATCAGAAGCTCAGGCTTTCAGCTTATCCCTTGTTGCCCTTTTCATTTTATAATCCTCCAAAGGTTTCTATTTTTTTGGACTCACTGTGTCTGCCGGAGGCAGAGTCTTTTAAACTTTATTTTAATTTTAATTTTGCTGTAATACTTGAAAGTTTTTAGAAGAAACAAATTAGGTCCTAAAGCAGTCTCCTGTAAAAGAACACTTCTTTGTATTTAAATTACAAAGAAGTGTTTGCAATTCACTTCTTACAAACACTAAATGTTGACGTTTCCTGTCAACATTTATTATAAACTATGTAGAACATCATTTCACAGTGAATTACAACGTGTTTGGAAAGAATACCAAATATTCACAAGCAGCATTTCTTTTTTTTATCACTAACTTTTACTTAATTACACATACCAGACCTAAATCCAGGGATTTCCTTTAGAAACATGAAAGAAATAACAGAATATTTAAACCTATTAAAAAAAATGATGCTTTTATTTCATCTACTTGTAAGTTGTTTGATCAGTGCATATATAATTACCCCACAATAACTCTGAATCGCTGTTGTTACAGCCAGTATAATCAACAATACCCTTCTGTTTGTCATGAATTGCGGGGTTGAAGTGGTGAGGAGAGACGCTGAGAACCCAGGTATGGTGAAGATAATGATTTTTAATGAAGACGACGCTTGGAGTAGTCCATACAGGCAGCACGGCAGAGACTAGCACACAGCTAAGTACCGGTAGCAACTGATTAACGGAACTAACATGCAAGCAAACACAATCCGGGACTTAGCAGTACGACCGGAGAGCAATACAGCTTGACGCAATCCAGGACTTAGCAGTACGACCGGAGAGCGATACAAGTATGACAAACAAAGACAAGNACCCGACGAAGAACACAGAGACAGGTGAGTTTAAATACACATGGAGGGTAATCAGGTAAGAAGACACACCTGGGGGACAATCAACGGGGAGGACAGGACAGAGACTCACAGGAAACAGGGCTGAACACAGAAAACTCAAAAATAAACACACAAAAACACGGATCCTGACACTGTTAGCTTTCCTGTGGTTTCTGCACGCTGACTACTATGGTGTCTTTGTTTGTTTTTTTTGGGGGAGGGGTGTTGCTTCTGAATCTGACTCCTTCCTTTATGCTTTTTCCTCTACCTTAACATTTGAATGTGCTGCTGTGTATTTAGTCCTGAGAAACATACCGTAAAGAAAGGATGAGATTTAAGGGCCAATTATCAATGTACATTGTTTTGGTTACAGTAATTGGATCGAGCTTAAGATTCTTCAACCTGTTCTCACTCTTCCAGCTGCTATTGGTTTTTACTGGAGACTCTTTGCTGATGCTTCTATCGCACATCATGTCCCCTGTAGCCAATTATCCATCTGAAGGCTAGAAATAACATTCAATGCTATTTAAAATGAATGTGTTGAATCCACTGACAATATTCTATTCTGGTTTTATTAGTCTTGTTTTTTTTTTTATTATTATTTGTAACCTGAAAAATGTAGCACTGATATGAGTCATTTAAAAAAGAAACGCATCAGTAAATTAAATAACTCTGCTACTCTTTTTTAAAATGGCAAGTCTTTAGAGTGATATTTAATACATTTAATTCTTTATGCTATAAACAATAGCCTTCTGTTTCCATTCTCATTTTTTCTATTTCACAAAGATCCTTTAAAGACTTATTGTATGTCCAGAGAGCTAATAGGAAACCGAGATATGTTCCAAATTATGGAAAATCTTAAAACGGCCTTTATCCTCCACCCTATTTTTTGTTAAGCACTGAATATGAAGTTATTGAGTCATAACTGATTGATTCAATTTATTCTTTAATTTAATAACTCACTGCTGTGAAAAACCATTTGATTTCTTCTGTTTTTGCTTTTCTGCAAAAGTTTCAGATCAAAGAATGTTAATTTTATTTAATTATGAAAAAAAAAATCACTCCTAAACAACATGGTCCTTTGTGAGAAAGTAACATCCTCTAAATCTAATGACCTCAAGCGTTTGTAATAACAGGAGAGTTTTATGCCATGTATGAACCTGTTGTAGTGCATGCCGCAAAATTTCAAATGAACTTCAGGTCCAGTCTTTGACTAGACCAATCCTAAAACTTTTTTGTATCGCTAGCATGTTGTATTTCTTTTTCCCTTTAATAGTTGGGTATCCAACTCCAAAAGTTCTGTGTCACATCTTTGTCTTTATATGTCTTCATAGGTGCAGAATATCCTGATTTTAACCGCAAACATTCAGTTTGGGAAAATGAAGATAAGTAGGCAAAAACATTTGTGGAGCTATCAGAAGCATTAATGATTGTGTTTAGACAAACATCTCTTGTACAGCACTGTCAAACAAATGTTGCATAATAACTACAATTACATCACAATTCCTTTTTTTTCTCTGTCTATGCAACTGCTACATCCTTTGTGAGACAGGATGTCCAAATTGGTCTGGAGTGGATGTTCTCAAATTGCTGCACATCCAAATGGTAGATAGCAATTTTCCCTGTAATCTCAGTTTGGTGACAATACAGGTTTTTAAAAGACACGCATGTAACGAACTGAAAGAGCCAATTAATCATCTTTGAGAGACTTTTAGAGATTGAGAGCATCAAATACCAATTTCCATTCCACAAACTCCCCAATTTCTTTTTAACTAAACTTGATGGAAAATAGGATGATGTTTCAAAATGTTGCTAAAAGACACGTGAGAACGGCCAAGGAAAATAAAAGTGAACAAGTTTAAAGCATTGTTGGGTTGTTCGGTTCTTTATGTCAAAACAAAAAAAGGTGAATCCCAACAATAAGTTTGCATATATCCTTTCTTCTGCACTGAAAGACCAGGATGTGAGAGCAGAGAGGAAGCTCAGTGGCTCCTGGTCGCTCTGCAGGAGCTGTAGAGATCCAGAGCTCATGTGGAAGAAGCAGAAAGAGTCATTCCCTGCATAAATCTCATCTTTATTGCTATTTACTTGTTGTCTTTGGCTAATATTTAAATTGATTTAATGAAATGAAGAAAGAGTCCAAACACTTTTTTTCATATCATTGTACTTCAAAATCCTATGAATTTGGAAATTTCCCAGGCGTATGAACAGTTTTGATCTCTGAAAAAAACTTTTTGGTTTTCCAGAAAATTCTCACGTCAAAAGAAAACTTTTTCTATTTAAGCTTTAAATTACATGAATTGACTTTCTTGTTTTTTTTTATTATAAATGCACCATTTCATCTCTTCATTCATCATCTGCGACATCTTCAAACTGTTCAACCCTCATCCATCCACTCACCAGTTTCTGTGGAACCTCAGTGATGTTTAACGATGCAAAATGGTCTCTGCATCGTTTGCTATGCTGGGACAATTTCACTCATCATCATGTCTTTTTTTTTCAGACCATCGAATTTCATTACTCACATGCTGACTGGTCTTTTGTGGCTCAGCGGATATAGCCAGAGAGGTCATTACGCATTTCACATTCTAAAGGCAGATATGTTGATTTAACGCATCATTATTCTTTTAATTTCCAAGGACCTTTCTAAATTAACTCCAGCCCCGTTGCCACTGCTTTAAAATCCTGGGACGTCTGCCCGTTTTCCAAAATCAAGCCAAAACGCGGGGTGGGCTCTCTGGCACACATATCACGTCCCCGGACAATTAACAATGTTTTATTTGACATTTGAAAGAATATGTGAGTGGTGCACACGTCTCAGATTGAAGTGTTTCTATAAACTCAAGTCTGACTGAAAAATGAGAACCAAAATTAAATAAAATATTGAAATTCTGTTTTGAGTTTTTCCACTTATGAGTGACAGAGCAATATAAACAACAGTTTTATTTTTGCTAAATTTATGCAGGATTGTTTTGGTAAAATAAAATATGCAGCAACAACTAAGAACTGGCTGCACATTGACAGTGATAGAAATATTTTTCTCCCCTTCGTCTCTGCGTCTCCTTTGGCATTCAAATCATCCAGCCTTTGACTCTTTCTGCTCTCTTTAACCTGTCAGCAAGAGCTTAAAACGTAATCTCACGCTATTTAGCAATTCATCTGAATTTAAGATGATTCACTTGAAGCAGAAGCCCTCTTTGCAAAGAACTCAAAAAACTTTTTCTAACTTGCAAATAAAGATATCATTATTATATCAATTGCTTTACATACAATTCTCTGCTGAGTTAAAACACTATGTATGTCATGTCAGTCAAAATGAACGATACTTTGAAATGTTAGCTCATATCTTAGAAAACTAATAGTTTTGAGTTTGAGTCATTTCGAGCAAAAATGTTGAACTCGTTGTCACAATATGTCAATTTTATGCCTTTATTTATTATTCTTTCCTCAAAGTGAACAATTATTCTCCGGTGAACTTCAAATGTAACAGATTGTTTAAAGTTGTGCAGAGCTTTACCCAAAGTGTGTCTGCTATGTTGTCAATAAATTTGTGAACAAAGTAGTACAGGAAAAGGCATATATGCATTAAAAAAGAAAAAAAAAAGTAAAACATACATATTCAGTGCCTTGTTCTCATGTCACTGTAGATTTCAAATGATTGTGAAAATAGTGTTTATTGCCGTAATGAGAACTTTCAAAGATCTGACTTTGTGTCATTGAAAGAAACACTTGATTTAGACAGTTTATATTTTACTGATCTTAATTTAAGTAATTTTGATTGTTTGAAAAGTTGGAAGAAATAACCACTGAACTCTTTGGCTTTGCACATTTGCACTTGGCTGAATGGCGGTGGGAAGCGCGAAGAGAAACGTCCCCTGAGAAATTCCTGGAATGAAACATATGGACATAAAGATAGGGATCAGAAAAGACTCCCAATAAATTTAAGTAGGCAAACGTCCTCTGTGGACAAGAGGATCTCAGTCATTTTTGTTCTACACTGATAAAGTGGTTATGAGCGCATTAATTATAAAAAGATTAATTGAACAAAAAGCTGTTCCCCCTTGTGCGTTGTTAAAGTAAAATCAATAACAAAGTGCATTGTCCTATTCCCATGATGCTAAACGGTTTACATTCTCAGAAGATCAATACGACTCTAGACTTCAAAACAGGAGAGCACATCCGCTCCAAGATGCCTTTTGATATGGGCAATAAAAAGCACATGTTTACAGCGCCGAGGGTGATTTTCTAGGAACACGTAGCCGGTGCTTTTAGTGCCTCTCCTGAGCAAGCTTATGACTCAAATATTTTATGTGCCAACAAATGCATCCATCCATTTATTACCAGCGCGGCTTCAAAAGAGGGGAGTGCCTTGATGATGTCACATCACCGAATCCATTAACATTCAAAGCAAGACTGATAATGTTTGATTTAATGCACTAACACACACCCTGACTTACAGGTTCTCGGTTTTTGTTCTCAATTAACATTTGAGCTCACACCTCCTGAGAAACCCAAAATATGGTTTCTCAAATATGAATATTGAATATTACATCTGGTCAATGGAAAATTCATTTAAAAAAAAAAAAAGAAGAAAGAAAAGCATCTTATAATACTGAATGATAGGGGGGAGTGTGGAGGTGTCCAGCAGACAGTCGCTGACACCTTCCACAAGGAGGATAAGCCAAAACGGCAATTTGCTGAAAAGACGCATTCAAAGGATGAAGTGTGAAAACATGTTAAATGAAAATTGTGACGAACAAAGAACTATGGTAGAAACATAGTGTGATTGCCATGCTTGAAGGTTACAGATGCAGAATTGTGAGTACAGAAATGACAGACTACTGAAAAACATGTCCATGTATGTCCACACAGTCCAAGGATATAATCTCTTGAAAAGGTTCAAAGTTGCAGTTATCACGGTTGCCTGTGTAATATTTTCCACATTTTCTTCCTTCCACTTAACTTTCTGCTAACTTTTGACACTCAGCAGTCATTAAAAAAAAAAACATCCAAATTAGGCTATTTGAAGTAAATGTGCAAGATAATTTGGAATAAATGCTAATTTATGTGTCAATTTTTAAATCTCATTAGTATAATAAATCTACTTTTCAATGATATTTTATTTTTTAGATGCATGTGTTCGTATATATATAAAATGTTGCACTTTTTTTTTTTTTAGATATAATGCAGCTGTGGGGGTCTTTCCCTGAGGACGGTTCGTGCTGCAGAGCCGATCAGTGAAAGTGCACAAGGCCACCAAGTGGCGGTGATAAGTAGGACCTTTTATTGCTCCTGACGAACTGGGGACCCTATAACACGGGCTCATGCGCTGTGCTGCTGCCCATTCCGAAGACTCTCAGCAGAGATGATGCCAGTTTCTTTTCTTCATCTCCAGTTTTAGCATTTATGTTTAGACTTCGGGTGTAAACGCGGCATTCTTTACTGTATACATTTCTAAACATTTTTGTTGCTTGGTGGATTACAGGCAGGTGAGCTGTGTTAATATACGTCATAATTTTGTTTTAGTGTTTTGTAGGTTCAGTCTTGTTCTCGGGATGTTGTTCTTCATACAACAAAAATTCTCTTTTTCTGTTTGGAGAATAACAAAAAAAAATATTCCCTGACATCCTCTCTCTTTTTTTTTTTTTTTTTTTTTTTTTTTTTTTTTTTTACAGACTATGGGTGACGTCCGAGACAACGTAAAACCCTTTTGCCATCTGGGAATTATGAACTGACCTTGATTATGCCTTGGCACCTGTGAGGACGCGAGGAAGACTTGGGCGCTCACGACCCCTCTCTTGGTGACCAAAACCACTGACGAGTCCTTCTGCAGAGAGGACGAGGCTGCAGCAATGGAAACTATTTCCAATGAAAGTGATATCTGGCAACTGAACGAATCTTGGAGGAACTCCAGCCTGCTGAACGGGACCGGCGGGCTGAATCAAACGAACCCCCTGAAGAGGAATGAGGAGGTGGCGAAGGTGGAGGTGACCGTGCTCGCTCTGGTGCTCTTCCTGGCGCTCGCAGGAAACCTGTGCGTCCTGCTGGCCATCCACACCACCAAACACAGCCAGTCCCGCATGTATTACTTCATGAAGCACCTGAGCATCGCCGATCTGGTCGTGGCCATATTCCAGGTCCTCCCGCAACTTATCTGGGACATCACATTTCGGTTCTACGGACCAGATATGTTGTGCAGGTTGGTAAAATACCTGCAGGTTGTCGGGATGTTTGCATCCACTTACATGTTAGTTTTGATGTCCGTAGACCGCTGTCTGGCCATATGTCAGCCTCTGCGCTCTCTGCACAGAAGAAAAGATCGCTTCTACGTGATATTTTCCTGGCTCCTCAGCCTGCTCTTCAGCACCCCGCAGATGTTCATCTTTTCCCTCAGAGAGGTCGGCTCAGGAGTGTACGACTGCTGGGGCGACTTCGTGAAGCCCTGGGGAGCGAAAGCTTACATTACATGGATCAGCCTCACTATCTACATCATCCCCGTGGCCATACTGAGCATTTGCTACGGTCTGATCAGCTTTAAGATATGGCAAAACTTTAAGCTGAAAACCAGACGCGAACAGTGCATCAGCATGACCCCCAAAACCTGCAAAAGCAACACTCTGGCCCGGGTGAGCAGCGTGAGGCTCATCTCCAAGGCGAAGATAACCACCGTGAAAATGACTTTTGTGATTGTGGTGGCGTACATCGTGTGCTGGACCCCCTTTTTCTCGGTCCAGATGTGGTCTGCGTGGGATCCAGCTGCGCCCCGTGAGGGTAGGTTGAGTAGAAAGGCTGTTGTAATGAATGCGCGCTGTGCGCAAAAAGGTGGCTGTGGGCTACATGGTGCGTTACGCACTTGGAATACTTGAAAACGCCAGCACAGAAACCGATATCTCCCCCTTTGAATATGTTTTAAAAACAATTGCCATGTGAAAATATGCAATTTATTATTGTTCATTCATCCGACTTCAACAATAATGAAGTTTTCTACGCACAAAAATCATTGGTTTCATCATTTACAGTAAAATTAGACCTTTTCGGGTCTCCTCAAATATTCATCAGAATGCAGAGGACTTATACAGTGTGTGACTCAGTAATCCCGAGAATTTACACCCAGATTAAAAAGGAGGTTTTGTGTTTGTACCATTTGGCGCTTTTTCCAGAAAATAGCCAGACGCAGCTCAAAGATAAAGTCGGTATATAATTCCATAATCTGATCACAAACAATGAAGCTGTCAAAGATGCATGTGTTGATTATGTGAACTTCCAAGAGCCAAAAGTTCCTCAACCCAACTCATTAATAATTGGATAAATAATTATTCAGATTTGTAGCAAAATAAAAAAGAACATACATACAAACCCCCTTTTTTTGTAATGATTTAAGTGAGATATAAAATATTCTAATAAATAAATATCAAAATAATTAATTGATGTATTCTTTACATCTAAAGTTTATACAGTTATTTTTGAGTTTATTTTATTAAACTATTTTATAGTCCTCTGTTGCAACAAACCATATTTTTTTTATTTTATGTTTTATTTCTGAAAGTCAGGGGCGGGACCAACACTGCTATAGGCCATTTGATTGGTCAGCTGTTACGTTGCAAGGCAGGATATCCAGATGTTTCATGATGTGGCGCATCACAAATGTAAAACAGACAAATGTTACAATTATTATATCATACATCTTAGCAAATAAAGGAATCAAATTCTAATAAAATATTTTGATTGCTAGATTTCAAAATGTTTTAATGTTCAAAACTAGATAAAAAATGTAATGATTCAATCCATTTATTAGTTTATGTTTTTAATATTCAATATTTTAGCAAATTTTCATTTTAATAAATTGTGGCACTTTTGACATCTATGGTAACAGTTATGCTCTTTCTGAGGTCCAAGTTTCCCAGCAGAGCCAGAATGTTTGTCAGGATGTTTTCCTGTTCCTGGAAAGCAGACATGCAAACGTGTTGATGTACCGAATGTTGATTTATCCTACAATTACACGGTGTTGTAGTGTAAAAATGTCATGGTCACCTTATTTTAATGAATGCAACATTGTTAAGACATGTTGTGTGAGTTAAGATAAAAGGATCAATAGTGTTATTTTAAAGGAAAGGATGCATACAGAATTTTACAACTTTCCACAGACTCTTCCTGAGCTGCAGAGACTCATTGACAGCTAATCATTAATCAAATCAGTGTGCACAAGCGTGCATCAGGCAGCTTTGGTGCCTGTGGGGGTCTTTGACATTTAACCACAATATGTGACTAACAGCCTCCTACTGCATGGGGTCTATGCATGAGCGACCACACCTCCGGGTTATACACTTAAATATGTGTTCTTTTTTCTCTTTGAGTAAATGCAATTCAAAACGCTGTATCCTGAGAACGAGATATTATAGGAAAGGTGTAAAAAGGAATACAAATAATGCTTTTCTAGTTTAACCCCAGGGGTATTTGTGAACTAAGAGTTGAAAACAGAACCATACCATTTGCACAAGACAACTATCAACCTCAGAATAAATAAATAAATAAATAAATATATATATATATATATATATATATATATATATATATATATATATATATATATATATATATATATATATATATATATATATATATATGAGAGGTTTTCTTGCAGCACAGAGATGACATGTTTTTAACCGAGGTGGTTCTTGCATGAATTGTACTCGGAGTGTGTCCATTTTTTCTGCACACACAAAACACTCTGCAGATGAAGCTTTGGGGTTCAAGAAATTGTAACTAAGAACTAAAAAATGTGCGCTTTTTAATTTCAGGTCTTTGCACTTGGTATACAATAATTCAAACCAAGTTTGAGGCATGTTCTTTACTTTAACTCAGGTGATTCTAACCTCAAGAAGCATTAGAAATACTCTGTTTCCACAAACAGAGTAAACAATTTATACATTCAAAAACAATGTTTTATAGAAACGCTCTTCAGTGCTTAACAATCCAGTGTAGCTTTGACCATTTTAAGTATTTCAGAACATCAACGTCACTTCACATTTCCTGCCATTCTTTTAGAAAATTTAGCAATATTCATATCTCCAATTGAACTACATGTTTTGGTTTCTCTTTTGACATGTTTGTTTAAAATTGTTTTCACCTCTGAAACTTGGAGCCATTCAAGGGCGTAAGCCAGGGGTCCCCAAGCTACGGCCTGCCTCCTCATTTGGTCTGGCCCCTTGAACAATACCAGAGAGCATTCAGTGTTTTTTTCATATATATGTGGATTTTTCTTCAACCACCAGGGGGGCTCTTGAGCAGATATGAAACTTAGTTTCCCTCAATGGAATATATACTAGTCAGTACCAGTCACCGTTTCGCTCATGGTTTTTTCCATTTGCATTCTGGGTAAAAATCTATCCACACACGCGAATATGTCGTCGGCAGTAATCCAATCCCCCTACCTACCCACCAACAAAACTTTTCTAAGGTTTCTTTCTCGAAAAACTAAGACCGGCCCCCGACCAGAAAAGGGAACAGTCATGTGGCCCTCGCAGGAAAAAGTTTGGTGACCCCTGGCATAAGCAAACTAAACTGCTTGTTATGCCTCCACCAGGTCAGAAGGGGGCACTCAAGAGCTCCTTTTACACAGATTCTAGCACTATTTTTAACATTTTTCTTAAAGGATCTTACTCTGTACCTTGAAGGTTGATCAATAGCTATTTTGAGATAATAAAAAAAATCTTTAAATGTTTCATGCTGCAAATTAATTCATCAATAGATGGGAAAAAAATCAGTGCTAGTAAAAATAATCAGTTCTTTTGTTGAACTTGGATTGAAACTTTGTAAACTAAGAGGAAAGCTAACTTGTTTTGATTTACTAAATAATGGACTTACGTAAAATAAATACAATGGTCGACCTTGGACAATTCATTGAAAACATTTTGTGAGGCCACTTTGTTAAATTCTGCTAAGGGCCCATTGCAATCCTCGACCAGGTATTCCAATTCTGTCCATTTGATGCATTACAAGCAAAGACACATGCTTGATGAAAAAGTAATTGGCTCTGACGCCGCACCTCGGTGTTATATTTAGAGGAATAGTGGCCAGAAAAAGGACGAAAAAAGCTTCAGTGTGTGGAAAAAGAAGAAAACGATTAATCCATTTCCCGTTAGGGAGGGTGAGAGGAGGAGGCTGACGTCTGGACGTCAGCGACACTTAGTAATGGCAGAGTTTGGCTGCGACAAGTGCCAGTGTTTGTGTACAAAGGAGAGCAGGAGTGTCATCTGTGTGCGCTGATAAAGAGTTAATTAGACGCAAAGAGCAAACCCGGCACAGACAGCTTGGGAAATAAACCGCAGCCAAGCGGAAAAAATGTCCATATTACAAATACTGAAAAATATCAATGATGGTTCTTTTTTTTTTAATCATATATGGTACAGCACATTGTCACATGATCCTGCATTAAAACCAGCAGTAAATACACATCCTTATAGGTAATCAAAGGTGTATTTCTTTGGATTGAAGGAAATAAATTCTGTTTCTCAGGGTCACGGTGGATGAGAGGATTTGTTTTTATGCAAGGTGAACACCACCTGTTTGCTAAACTGAGCCTAATGACAAACAGACCCCTGCTTGTTTGACCTTGGTTTTCCCCTGTATGTCGAGCTGCATGTGTGAGGATTTATCAACCTGAACCAGCAGGAAATTCTCTGTTATCTGGTCATTAAATACCCCGTAGTCCCTATGAGATCTGTTACTTTTTACATAGAATAATAATGAATCATATATTGCTTTACAATCTGAGATCAGAAAGTGAAATTTGAAAGCTGATAAAAATTGCACCATCTATCTATCTATCTATCTATCTATCTATCTATCTATCTATCTATCTATCTATCTATCTATCTATCTATCTATCTATCTATCTATCTATTATTTTAATTTTTTTTTTTTTCCTCATGCAAAGTGTTGAGTGAGTGGTGAAAAACTCTGGTGCTCTCTTTCCAATCTGACCGAGTTTGAGTTATTCTCTCACAGAATGGGTGACAATTTCTGATTCTAGAAATACATAGCTGGTAGAGACATGCTCTACAAGCCTTTCAGCATTTTCTGCAGTGAAAGGCGGTTCTGCAATACAGACTAAAGAAAGCTGAATTCAAATGGATGCTAATCATTTCAGCTTTTTATTCACGAAAAAAAAATCATAAAACCATTCATTGGGTATGGATACATTTTCAAAGCACTTATAAGAGATATTTTATGGGGCTTTAGGTCTGACACGTAACTTGAGTTTAGTCGTACAGACAGAAAAAAGAACAAAGTTCAGAACGCTGAATGTTGACTTTGTCATAATAAAAAGCAGCTTTATTGATTTCTGCTCTTTATCTCTGAATTGGGAAACATTTTACGGACAATGAAACTAGTTGCCAATAAATAATAATGTGTTTTTAGTTCATTTTATGACTTTTGTTGACATATAATGTTGCAACACATTATGAAAAATTAAACGTTGCTCTTAATTTTTACATTCTGGAAATAGGTTAGGAAATGTAAAAAGTGTTGGCTATATTTTTGTACTTTTATCTTCAAGTTAACTTTAAAAGGTACAAAGCTGCTGGCAAACAATGTCAACATGCTCAAAAATTGGTTGATTTTATAATTTTTTTCTAAAAAAAAAAGAAAAAAGAAAAAAGAGAAATGATGGACCACACTGACTGATCGCTTTCACCTTTACACTCAATACTTTTAAACACTGCTAAACAATGACAGTAAAATTAGATATTTAAAGAGTGTTTCAGACATAAATAGCTCACTATTGGCTCAATAGGTAATACCAAAACAAGTAGTAATGCAGTTAAACGTGTGCAATAATGATAAAGTGTGAACATATAAGTTACTTTTCTGTCTCATCAAAAGCATAACTTCATCTTTATTATGAAAAAAAAAAAAACGATCATGCACGTCATAATCTATTTCCTCTCCAAAAAATGAGAAGTCAGCTTCCTGACACGGGGATAATATGACTGAGTCCAGACCCGTTGCAGATGGGTTTACCATTTTTAGCACCTGATTGGGCTTATCAGCATCATTTCTGAAAATGTCAGAAGACAACAAAAATCCCCCGATTCTCTCTGAGATTTGTTGGAGGGAAATCAGCCGCCTGCATGTGTGATTTCACATTTAGCCGCCAGACAGATTTCATTATGTGGTGGATAAAACAGCTGAAGGTTAAACCTCGACTCAGACGAGCCGACACAAACTCCAGATTGTGAACGGAAGCATCTTGTTGCAGTGGTTGCTGCCCTTGGCAGCTGACTCACACCCCACTATTGATTTGTATTAAGAGTTTTTAATGGGCACAGTTTCCACCATTCAATTTCCAAAGTCTTTTTTTTTTTTTTGTAAAGGTCAGTTCTCGTGTCTTTTATAAGGAAGGAAGCACAACTCAAAAGCTTTTTTTTTTTTTTTTGCTTTTTAACATTGAATCTAATTTTGTGTTAAAATCTAAATGAGGTTACCACTAATGCATGTTTACCATCCATGAACTACAATCAGAGTTAAACGAATTTCTCTGGAGTCTTTTGGACTGGACAGAATCAGCCCTGACAGCCACACAGATGTACCACCCGCAGGGTGATTAGACTGTCGCTTCATTTGCCGTGTGATCTATCAATCCCCCTGTGAGAGACTCCATGAGCCAATTCAGCAACGGGCTTTCTTTTTCTCCGTGAAGCCACACAATATTCAAATTGGATCCGGGCCCTGCTCTCATCTGCTTTGATGATAAATTCCTGATAAACTCCAGTTGGTCCTTTTTGCACCACCTGCCACTGCACTGCGTTCCAGAGGTCGCAACTCCAAGGTAGATGACACAACCTGCGACACGGTTAACTAAGACTGACGCGGCAGAGTCACATTTTAATCCGTGAGCATGACCCGTAGAGGACAGCTCTTCTTAATCATGTGTGGTGTTGCGAGAGTTTCATGCCCCCTATGATGGCATTTTACTCTGCAGTTTCTAATGAATCCAGGGGACAGAAGCAATAAGATTAGCTAGGGCACAGGCAGACCAAGAGAAAGATTAGCAACCACTGAGACGAGGTTAAATACAGGATACAAACCAATTACATGATCTGAAACTCATTTGCCAAATGTCAGGTGGACGGCGGAGTTAGCGGTGTAAATGTCATCCAGCGTACCACTTCAGGTTGCTTTCTGCAATCTACCGCTGCATCACTGGGCAGGAAACAGTGTCACCTCTTTGAATCTGGCAGATGTCTCTGCAGAGTTCGGATTGGTGTCGACGGTCAGCGATGGTTGAAATTCTGTAAAACCATTTTCCAGGCACAGGGTTTTGTGTGTGTGTGTGTGTGTGTTGTAGTTTTAAGGTGCTGTCTTTTTCTTTAGTGTTTTTTTTCTGATTTGAGTGACAGAAAAAACCTTTAAACACAGCATGAGTAACTCTGTATGGCTATAGGATTGAAGCAGACACTGTGAACCAATTTCATTATTGTAAAAAAACAGCAAACACTTTTAGTTTAGCAAAACTAAACCTTGACACACCTGCTCTAAAAGTGCATACAGAGTAAATACCTGTTTGTTCCCTCATTAGTTTGCTAGCATTTTCTGTTTGCCTTTTGCTTATGAACTCAACAATGACTCTTGTTGCGGTACTGAAACGTTGACACCAAATTGAAAGACTAAAACATTCAGATTGAAAACAGTCATTTCTGTTTCCTGCATCATTTTCCAGAGCACTGAGTTTCAAAGATTTAGAAATTTAAGCACACCTTCCTAAGCAGTGCATTTGCATGCTGTTAATAATTCCCTTACCAGTAGCACACCAAGACCATTATTCCTGTGGGGGAAGAAGGAAAATTCATGACTAATTATGTGCAAAAAGAAAAACCTTTCAGTCTTTTTTGGGGGCTACAAAGTCACGATTGCAGCTGTTACAAAAGAAAAGTTCAGTCATTTCCTGCAATCTTCTGCATACACACATCCTGTCCCACTGAGAACAACTTTCCTGCAAAATCAACCAATTTTCTTTAGCCCCTGACTATTTGACCTCCTGTCTGCTCAATTTCACTATTCTGAAGCCAAGTGTGCACATTTCCCATCAAATGTTGTGGTGAAACATGCGGGGAGAATTTGATTTATAGTTGAAAGCAGATATCAGAAGACACTGTATGAAAAGATAAATACAATTTCCCCCTGCTGTCTGAATTTACACCAGGTTAAAATGTTCCTCTTTTATTTGTTTGCTTAATCTCCCTCCGCTACGCCATCTGGGATTTCTCACATTGAGATTGCCATTAAAAATCTTTGGGAATTCCAGATGATGTAAGTTTTTAACAGTTCAATAACATAGTTTGAGTTAAATGGACGCACACCTGTGCAGGTGTTTTAAGGGACACTTTAAATGCTTTGCTTCCCTACGTGGCACCATGAAGAACAATCTAAAAAAAAAAATTAGCAAAGTTATCAGGAAGAGAAATGTGAACGTCTTCCCTTCTTCCTCATCCTCAAATTCAATTTCCTGATCATGAAGGTGCCAAACTTGTCGGTCTAAATAAGTATATGAGTCCTTGTCAAACGGCGTTTTGACTAAAGTACAAAGGGTTGGAGTCCCAGTTGACGGCGTCTCAACTAAAGTTCTACAGCTTTTTATTTCTCTTTCTCACTGTTAACGTTTTAATTAAATCTCTTTCTCTTTCTCACATGCTGTTTTTATTTTAATTATGTAAAGCACTTTGAAATGCCTTGCTGCTGAAATGTGCTATAGAAATACAATTTGATTGATTGATTGATATGCCAGTATGAACACCATGGATGTTAACAGGTAACCCCCAAGTTATACAGAGAGTGGATTAAGTACAATAAAGTCAATATTTAGGAGCGATCCTTGAAAAGCTCTGTTCTCACTCAGAAAAGTGGGAAGGGATGAAAAGTACTGTGGCTGACAGATGTGCAAGTGCAGCAAATGGTAAAACGAGCTGCAAACACACGAGTGATGCAAACTCCAAAACACAAATGCTGCAGAAAAATGCTGGGAGGTCTGGGCACCTTTGAAAATGAGATGAGACATTTCAAGTTTTTATATTCAAAATAAATACGGAAAAAAATTGTTGGAACGTCCATTTTGTGGAGCGAGTTTTTTATCTACTGTTGTTTGTTTTTAATAATACTGGCATTTCCCCCTTGCCTCTATTTCCTCTGGTTTCACCAATTTGGTTGTTGATCGCAGCAGTTTCTGTCTTCATTTGTTCTGTTGATTTTGTTGTAGGTTTTTGCTCCTATTTTCTGTGATTGAAGCATTTTTCTGTTGCCTTTGGTTTTTTATGTGTTGTGTATTTTGGAGTTTGCATCGTTCATCAGTTTGAAGCTTGTTTTTTTTTTTTGTTTGTTTTTTTTTACAGTTTGCTGTGCATTTGCACCTGTCAGCCACTGTAGAAGAAGTTTATATGACCGTGGCACCCTATAAATCTGACTCCAGAGTTAAAGAAAAAATACATTGTTCAAACCCAACCCAACGGGCCCAAACCAAGAAAAGTTTTATCTGAAATAATGTCTGAAAGTGAGAATGTAACAGTATTATTTTCCTTTTTAGCAATGCACTTACATATCTGGTTTTGCATGAATCTCGCAGAGAGCCGTCTCTTGCTGAATGCATATGGCTCATTGCTGGAAGGCATTTTTACCATGCTAGCTATTAGTAATTTCTTCAGAAACACAAATGCTGAAACCACCAAAAAACACCCAATGCAATAACCAGATGTTATGACAAAACCAAATAATAGTAAAGAACTAACCCGTAACATTTCTTCTAAAGGATTGGGTCACTTGACTGTGCAACGTTGCAAAGCTGTGCTTCTAAAAACAAGACAAAAAGAAAACTGAGATTTGATTTCTGCAGTTATTATTATTTCTGATTGCACAATTATTTAATAAAAATTAATGCTTCTTGTTCAAGTGGCTGGCACTGCTAAGTGGTAAACGGTCTGCACTTGTATAGTTTTTATCAGGTCCAGAGGACTTTGAAACACTACATTCAGCCTTTCACGCACACATTCACACGCTGACGGTAAACCACAGCTGCCCGGGGGAGACCAGCAGGAGCGAAGCTGCCATTCAGTCGGCTCCACAGGACCCTCTGACCATTTTTATTTAAAGGGCTCAGGGTAAGAGCAGATAAACAATGCAAGAGTTTAGCCTGAACCCCCAGTCTAAAATCAATACAGGGAAAATCCTACAGCAGCTGGTGTTGGTTTATTTATATGACTGTAGCCATCCTTTTTTAATTTTTTTTTTTTTTTTTAAAAGTCATTAAGTTAAAATAGAATCTACCTTCTATTACATTATTAGCTGCAAACACACGAGTGATGCAAACGCGTTTATAATCAATTGACCTGATATGTAAAGTGCTTTCTTCACTACTAAACTAGCTGATTGATATTAAGTTAATTGTTTAAATATCAGCTTTTAAAAAGACTCTTTTGAGGTAAATGTGTGGCGAGTCATCAAGGAAGTACACGTATAGTTGGGAAGTTGAATTATGGCTGTTTGTTCCTGAAATGGTCTGTTCTAAACTTCAGTACTAAACAACAACAATAACAAAAAAAAAAAGCGCATTCTGTAAATATTTTTTTTTATTTTTTTTTGCTAACACAAAACCAAGTGTCGGCGGTGGATTTACGGTTTCCACCAGCACCTCCAAAACGTCTTAGAGAAAAACCCAGACTCAGTTTGTCTTTCTCATTCCGTCAGGCGGCAGTAACATTTCACTCTCTGTCTCCCTGTTTGCAGCCATGCCCTTCATTATCTCCATGCTGCTTGCCAGCCTCAACAGCTGCTGCAACCCCTGGATCTACATGTGCTTCGCTGGGCATCTCTTCCACGACCTGAGGCAGAACTTTCTGTGTTGTTCCGCTCGCTACCTTAAGTCATCCCAGTGCCGCTGTGAGCATGACTTTGACTCCAGCCACAAGAGCAACTCATCAACCTTTGCCATTAAGAGCACCAGCAGTCAGAGGAGCATCACACAGACATCCACCACGTAAGCCGCTGGCCTCCTCTTTTTTTTTTTTCCTGCCTCCCAAGTTGCCCACTCAGCCTCTCACTACATGCTGCTCCCCATAAATTTTCCAGCGGTTCGATTTTTTTTTTTTTTTCAAAATGCCTCTCTCTGCAAGACTTGCTGTTAGAGCCCAGAAGGGGGAAAACAACCCACACAGTCCTTTCATTTCTGCATACATTTATTATTTAACTGTGAATCTGAAACCATTAATCAACAGAATCCCTTTTCATGAATTTCAATGAGATAATCACAGACTAAAAAGAGTGATTGAATGAAACTTTTTCTGTTTTGTTTTTTTTTGTTATATACTTGATCTAAATGTATAAAGTGTATCTCAGTGTTTATTGTGCACACAAACTGAGTAAAAAGACTATTTGACGAATGTTGATGCGCTGTAAATTGTTACGGTTTTGTCACCAGCAAAGCTAATGGATCCAGTTTGTCTGTGTTGCTATTATAAATTTATTCCTCTGTTATAAATACGATATGTATCCTGTTGTTCAGCTTGTTACATATTTGCACAGATATAAACTGTTACTTCAAGGTTTTGTTAAGTTTATTATGCCATGCCCGTCTCTGCTAAACGTTGGACAAATGGCTGAAAAACAATAAAAGAAAATTAAAGTAACAACAGGTTTTGATGATGTTATTGTTTTTTGTCCAGCTGATGTACTTCAGCTGGGAGAATTTCAGCCTGATATGAATGTCATCATATACAGTAGGGATTTCAGCTCAAAAATGCTTCCTAATACAAATATTGCAGAAAGTATTTATTCCCATTTTGTTACATTACAATCACAAACCTTAAAGTTTCCTATCTGGATTGTAGATGCTAAGCTATCATGTTTGTAAAGCCATTTTTCTTGTAACGCCAAGAGTAGATAATGAAGACTGCCAATGTTAGCTTCTGCCAAGAATGTATCCACTGTGATTATTGTGATGTCAACATATATTTGGTGTTTAAACTGTTAAAATAGGAAGTTATAAGCATTCTTACAGGAGGTCTCACGTAACTTAACACCTGGAGGTCCACCGTTTTGACTCCTGAACACATACTGTATGTGAGCCACAATTTCAGAATTTTATTTGGAGAAGTTATGTACGATCTTCCTTCCGGTTTACTTTGCGTTGATCTGTAACATAAAATCCCAGTTGAAATACAGTGAAGATCGTGGTTGTATGAATACCTAACCGTATAATGATGGCCATTCTTGATGGTGCTCATAGGAGGGGAATTACAAACAAGACCTGCTGAAAGATAAACGTCTCTCAGCATAGCAATTTCACCAGATAAATAATAATTTTATATCATTCGCTATTTATTTCAGGCTTATTTTTCTGTCTTCAACTGATTACTGAGCTCCCTCTTTTGTAAAATCCAACAGTACGTGTCTCCATAAACAGTATTGAGACGACTAACTTTGCAGATATAATTGACCACTCCAACCATTTAGCAGTTTCGTCTTACATTTGCCATGTATCGCAACCTGTACGAGGATTATGCAGCCTGCCAACTTTTCTAAAACGTTTTTACAATCCTCCTTTCCAAATACCTTAAACTCTCTAAGGTCTTTGAGACAATATTTTATGGATCGTTTTCAGTTTTGTTAACATGAATGTGGAAGATAAGAAAGACGTTCTGTTGTTTTTACCAAATTTGTCCACGTGACTTTCTTTCTAAAGGTCATCAGACTGGATTTTCATGTAATTTATTCCAGGAGGATTTATGACATGCCTCTTCCATAATTTGTCTTAGTTTGTTTTTGTTTAAGTTACTTACTTTTGAGTTTCAAGTTTTCCTTTTAAAAATTGGAATAAGTGATAAAGAGCGTATTTTTCACACTCACCCACCCGGGGTGTTTCTATTCCAATCCACTGGACAACCCCACTGTGTCATTCCACACCACTTACTGGTCAACCACTGCAAGAGCATAAACCCGTCTTCAGACCAACAAGGTCGACAGACAGTAAACAGTATTGTGCACCTGGATAAATCTGACCAGAGCTTCTATAGCATGAGTAAAAAATACTGGTGTCAGTATCCAGCTAAGGATTAATATAATTGTTAAAGTTTTTAAATTTTGGTTTTGAATCAGGAGGAAATTGCAATTTACTTTCTGCTCATTCAAGTAGACATCATGCATCTCTTAACTTTATCATTTTTTTAACAGTTACTGTGACTATTATTCTTAAAAATACTTCATCAGTAACTCGTTTTCTCCGAAACAATATCTTTTCAGATTAGTTGAATTGTGTGGCGCATACATTTCGTGTTTTTGTCTTTTATGTTTTCTAAGTGCAGGACATGAACGAAAGCTCTCTAGGGAAGACGGTGAAGCTAATGTCGAAGTGAAGTAAGTGTGGAGGTATTACCAGCCACTCACCTAGAATTGGTAACAAACTGAAGAGATATATCAGCTATTTAAATCGGGTGAGTTCTATCCGAAACCCGTCTGAAACATTCAGGACGACGGCCCTTGAGGACTGGAGAGGCTCAGTGGCTAAGCCGAGGAAGTGGAGGGGAGCTGAGAATGCTAAAAAGTCTAAATTATGCTGAAGAAAATTGTATTTGCAACCTGATGCAGCTCTAGGACAAAACCAAGGGAAACATCACTTATCCAGAAACTCAAAATGGACTCAATTCAAAGTAGGAACCTTGTTTTTATGTTCTCTACTTGTAATGAAACAATAAAAGTTGGAATTTCCATTTCTTTTCTTTTTTTTTTCTTTTTTTTTCAGGCACAGGAAATATATTTTTTTAATTTCTAGACTAGCCGAAAAGAAGAAACTAAGGTCTCAAAATTGAAAATGAAGAGCTTAGAAGCATGAGACTATAAGTAGAGAGCACAGGAAGAGTTTTTCACTGAACTGAACAGCGTTAGAAGATGGTTAAATATGTAACTGGATAAGTTTAACAACAACCACAATTAGTTTTTAATAGTTTTCACACATTATTAACTGACTTGTCAAATACATATTTAGGTCTAAATACCTGGATTTACATGTGGAAACACTGCTTAAAGGAAAAGAAAGCAATTTTTTTCATCCCTAAAAACACAAATAACCTGAGTGAGGATGTAAATTCATACATGAAGGGTTACTTGCATATGTCACTATTATTAAAGAAAATGTACCATTATGTTATTAATGTGGCTTTTCAGCTGATTGAAAGTGTTTGAACCTTCTTTTGAAATTGAATCTCACCACTACAGACATTTTCCAGGCTTGTTGGATCCCAAACACTCTTTTTTTTTCTTCAAAGAGCTAATAAATAAAATATTGCATGAAAGGTTTGCAGGAGGAAAGAAACAAAAAGACCAGAACGCAGTGAGCAGAGTGAAAAACAACAATGTTATGAACAAAGCAGGGTGTGGTGGCAGTGAACCATTAAGAAATGGTCTAATGAAAGAACGCGTGAAAAACACACAACAGCATCCTCTAGTGGGTCTCAGTTCACTGGTCAGCGCATCCAGGATGACAGAAGATTCCAAAAACACGTTGTTGTGGGATGATTTCTAAAGCTTTTTGCAAATGCATTAAATTATTGCATGCACTAAACTCTACTTAACTGTGAGTTTGTTTACTCCAAACTAGTACAAAATGTTATAAGAGATGTCATATCTTGATGTACATAACAGACTTGGAAATTTGTTTCTATTTAAAAAAAAAAAAATCATTTTTCTATACTGCATTATAAAGGGTCCTTATAAATTACACAGAAAACGAAGCATGTATAAAGCACATACAAACAAGTCCAAAATACAGGACAAAGTAGTTGTTTACAATTCATTTCATTTCTTTGAGGTATATAGTGAACAATATGATGAAAATCAGTAACAAAACAATGCAAAAAGTTTTGAAAGGAACCAAATTAAATGCACAAATGAAACAATTTATCTTTAGAGCAATATTAATTAATGTTATGTAATTTTTTTGTTTTTGCATGTTTGTGAATTCTTGCTTTTTCTTAAATAGTGCCTCTTGAGAATGGACACATCTCTGTACAAAAACGTCAGGATTTGTCATGTAAAACAATCAAACTGCAATAAATAACTTCCAAATTTTTCATGCTCATGACGTCTCATGTGTCCCGTTCAACTGAAAATAACAAATCTGTTAAAATGTAAAGAGGTGCAAACTCCTGATAAGTAAGTGACTGATGCTGTTTTGAGGCCTCCGTCGTTTAATTTCAGGACTCCATTTCTCTGGTGGGGAATTGTTTATTTAGTATCACTGTTGTTGGTTATTATTGTTTTTGATCTTTGATGCTTTTTCTTTTGGCAAATATAATTGTAATCTGCTTGGGTTTTGTTAAAGGATATAAATGAACAAATGTCATGTAAGTCCAAGTAGAACAGCTGGACTTTGTTTCTGATATATTTTCTTACATTTCTTCTCCTAACAGATTTGTTTGATTTTCATCCGGATCTAACAGGACATATACCACATTAGAAGTAAAATCATTCTTTAAATGATTCTTCGTGAACTCATTTTTTGCATCACAAAATTGTTTTTTTGTGTGTGTGTGTGTGTGTGTGTGTGTGTGTGTGTGTGTGTGTGTGTGTGTGTGTGTGTGTGTGTGTGTAAACTTCTAAAACCACTGTAGGTGTTAATACCGAGCTTCCCCTTATGACAGTGGACCTTCTTCTGTTTGGGTCAACCTAGACCTGCCAGAGCTGTCAGAGAGCCATGCTGCCTGCTGCAGCTGTCACAGCACTTTTGGCTAAATGCACACTGGGCATGTCAGGCTTTAGATCTCTGACTCTGACTTCGGAGGGCGGAGAACAGCATGCCACAGTGAGACGAGGACGAGTCGGTTGCAAAGCAAGATGTCAGGGATGGATTATTTTTCCGCTGTAAGAAAAAAAAAAAAAAAAGGAAACCACATACCACACTTTCTCTGGTCATATTTCAAACTGCAGAGTGAGTTCTTAGACTTCTTTGCGCAGCGCCACGCGGACGCTGCTGAAAATCTTGCCCAGAGCCTCAAAGAAAGGATCACAGAAGGTCTGAATGCAGAGTGAGTAAATGCGGCTGACGCACTGCGACTCAATCAGACAGCTCTTGATGCAGGGAACCACGGCCCAGATGTGGCAGAAGGAGATGCAGGCGAACAGGAAGCCCCAGAGCAGAGCGACTGGGATGCCAAAGACAGCAGACAGGACGCGGTAGCACCAGTATTTGGACACAGTGAAAGTGGTGTAGCTGAGCCTCCACACTCCATCCAGGCTGTGCGTGCCATCGGGCTCTGCGATTACGTCCTCGAACTCCACCTAACGAGACAGTTTGAACAGGAGTCATTAGCACAGGTCCTTGAGAGAGCACAACTTCTGCAGCCTTTCTCCCAAGCAGACCCGTGAGCACCGTAATAAACAGCTCCTGCAAATTCACGTGGAGTGTGAAGTTGACCCTTTGAAAAGCACAGAGTGCAGCACTCACACTCAGAGAAGCGAATAACCTGCACACACTTCATGCGCAGACAAAGTGGTGGATGGGCTTTTAATGCTGCACCCAGATCAAGTCAAAGAGCTTTATTCCGCCTCATTTTTGCTAAATCAAAGCTGGCCTCATGCAAAATTCATAAGAGAGTGTCTCCACAATGCTCCAATATGTTGTTGGATTGCGTTACCAGCCACCTGGTCCTGGAAAAAAAAAAAAAAGTAGGCCATTACATTCTCAGCTGAGGCTCGGCATCAAACTGCTGTCAGCTATCGTCAGTAATCAAACTTTTGCAGGCGGACACACACACGGCACATCTGAAGCTTTATCTCCCTCTTCAAATTGTTCCATGGGAAAGGTACAGGAAGTTATAAGACGATTTCCAAAGGGAACAGCATGTAGGGATCTAACTCCGAATGAATAAATCACTGGATAAAAATAAATAAATAACTCTGTTATCTAGTTTCTCTAAAGTTTGGATCATTTTAAACTTTAATTTATATCTATTTTAAAAAAACAGAGTTAACATTGCACAGCAGAAACATTTTAATCTTCTACATCAGTGGTCCCCAAACTTTTTCCTGTGAGGGCCACATAACTTTTCCCCTCTCTGGTGGGGGGCCGGAAATTGTTGGGGGGGTGGGGGGGGGTCGTTTCTCGATTGATTTTTACCCAGAAAGCACATGGGCAAAAACCATGAGTGAAACGGTGACTGGGACTAACTAGCATATATTCCATTGAGGGAACATAACTAAAACGTATTAATTTCTCATATGTTAACATAAAGGCTCGTTTTGAAGTATAAGTTGCTACTTACAGGCATCGCTTTGAAGAACTCGAGCTGGAATTAGGCGTTCATAACAGACACGTGTTCATCTGCTCTACCGTTAGCAAACAACCGAACTGATTAAATAACATAAAAGTCAAGCAGTTCCCTAAAAGTCCAACAGATGATGATGCAAAACAAAACACCCACAGTTTACAGGACACACTTCCTGCTAAAGAAGTGGTTGAAGAAAAATCCACATATAAACCGGAAAATACAATAAATGAAAAAAAAAAAATCTGAATGCTCTCTGGTATTGTTCAGGGGGCCGGATCTGGCCCGCGGGCCATAGTTTTGGGAACCCCTGATCTACATGCTCTATTTAGGTATAGCTGCACCATCCAGTAATTTTTAATACCGTTGTGTAGGGATATTTTTACAATAGTTTTTGTAAATTTCAAATTGTTAATATCATTATCTTATAAGTTGAGTCCTGTCTTCAAGGTTGCAGTGCTCAGCTTTCTAAAAATCTGGCACAAACCGGTTTGTAAATGTTTCCAAAGTGAGTCATGGAGTCACCAAACACTTGTTTGACACTCACCCTTACAGCCTCATTTACATCCACCCAACTCTTTTAAACAAAAATATACTTAAGATTACTTATTTAATAATAACAGCAACATATATATTTTGTGATACTTCCATAGCAACAAATAAATAATAAACAGTGGCAGAAAATCAGAGCGACAGTGTGTATCAGTTCCAACTCCTTCCAGCCCATCCCCAAAATAAATCTTTGCTCTGCTCAAGCAACAGGAATAGCTCCTGGTCTATTTCAGGATTTCTCTGCTAGTACAATGCCTTGTTCTACTCTCAGCACCTACTATTTGCAATTTTATCTAAATCTGCAAACATGCAATTAGAGACTGCAAGTTTGATCCCTATAACCTTTCTCATGGCATTTTTTTCTCTCTCTCTCTCTCCTTTCTGCACAAACCTTCACCACGTCCTCATTGATTTGCTTGGGGTCTCTGTTAATCAGATCAATCTCCTTGGTGTGGCTGTCCTTCACAATCTTCTCCTCGTTGGTGTTGTACTGGTACTGATCCGCCATGGTTGAGGCTCCGCAGGTGCCAGGTTTCGTCAAAGACAGGAGCAATGAGAACCTTTTTGGAAACTGTACACAGCAGTTCTCGGCTCAGTCCTGAACCTTTTCTGTAGCAAGTCTCTGACGCTCCCCGCTGACATGCCAAAGGACAGCTGCTGCATGTGCCCTGGTAGAAATGATGGCCTTAGCCCCCACCCTGCACGCACACACACACACACACACGTACACACATACACACACAAACACCATGTTATGACCACTGAGAGAAAAGGAATGCCTTAAAGAAGAACCAGAGTTGTGTCATATTTCACACGGAGTTGTCGGGTTAACTGGGACGGGTTTGCACAGTGGTGCTAACTTCCACAACAGGAAAAAAAAAAAAAAAGCACAAACAAACACACCCACATGGCTCCAGTTAGGTTTGAACTACTAATTACTATCCTTTATGTCAGACATGTCTTCATGTCCACATTTGTTGCGTTACTAGCATAAACCTTGATCTGTGTCATTGGGTTTTCATGAGATTTGTGAACAACACCAAGAAATCCATAATTGTGAACTGGAAGGAAAATTATACAGTTTTCAATTTATGAAACAATTGTGAAATTGTGGCGGCTGTTCACATTCAGCCTCCATTAGTAAATATTTGTTAGGATAGTTTTTCTCTCCAGTTACAGCTGCAGATGGTTTGTGGTATGTTTTTGCTTTGTACATATAGACACTGACTTGTGCCTGCTCCTCTTTGTAAAACAGCCAAAGTCCAGCCAGACTGGATGGAGAGTGTCTCTGAACGTGAATCACAGATTCTCACTTAGGGTTTGGTCTTGATCTTGATCTTTGTTCTGGAACCGACCTAAAACAAGAACCGGCTGGTGCTCTTCCAGGATGTTGCTCTAATTATTCCCATTCATCTCTCCATCGGTTTTGATCAACTTATTTGCCACTGCAGGAAAAAAAAAAAAAAAAAAGCATCTCCACAGCATGATTGAGCCTCCACCTTGTTTCAAAGCCAGCATGGTGTGCTCAGGGTGAGTCTCAGCTTGACACACCTTGCATGTTTGCAATATTGGTCTCATCTGAAAATAGTTTCTTCTTCTTCTAAATGTTTTTGTCTTACATGGCATGAGACAAACATAAATAGCATATAAATAGTTTTTTTCTAACTTCCCATTAACTATAAAACAGCACAAATGGGAGTAAGACAAACCTTCACTAAAGAAACTCTGGCAGAACAAAAGTGAGATGCTTTGACAACATTACCTTGATCCGAATAACATGAGTTGGCCCTCAACTTCATCTCAAAGCTCTGATTTGAACCAAGGGTTGATAATAAAATCTAATCTTCCTCCTAAATAAAATCCAGACAGCCTAAATTAGGCTTTGCAGTTGTTGCTTTCAGTCTTTGGATTCCATATCAGCATGCAACATAAACAAACCCATGCGGGGCAGCTGCCAAGTAAAGATTGCAGGAGGGAAGGTGATGCAGAGATACTCCCTATGAAAGGTGCAGGGGAAAAAACTCCCAGTTATGCTACGACTTTCTGTCTCAATCAGTCGGTGTAAGAGAAGTACAGGAAGCGTGACTCCATAGTGAGCCGTGCCATTCCTCTTCCCAGTTGCCCGAGAGCTGAGGAGGCAGTGGGAGAGGGGGGTGGGTGAGATCAGAGTTCATGTGATTGGGTGCCAGGCCAATTAGACGTCTATTCTTGGCCGTGGAGAGAGAGGGAGCTGGTTAGGCATGGAGGCCGGCAGACAGAAATAGCTGTGCAGAGAGAGACATAGTGGCATGTCTCTGTGTTCATGGGTATCAATATGGTGAAATGAGACTGCACTGGCTCTTATCTTTCATTAGATGTCGGCAGGCAGGGCTCTCAGACCTGTGATCACATGGAGTGTAATTGGTGGAAGGGATGCCGCTGAACTCTTATTGACAGCGTACAGTTGGAGATACATTTAAAACGCTGGGTGTGCTTCTTGTTACATGCTGTACCGTCCATGCAACTTTGATTGTTCATGATTTATGTGTTCATTTGCAACAAGTCGTCCGATGCGCACCGTTTTTAGACATGAGTCACGCAAGCCTGACAACCTGTGCAGTTCTGCTGGACCAAAAGCACAGGGGCAACTTTAAAAGTAAACTTTTATATTTAATCTCATCATCTATATTCTGAACACTTCTTAGAACTACAGTTTGTTAGAGGGTGTTTTATATATATATATATATATATATATATATATATATATATATATATATAGATTTATACATGATCCTACAAAGTATACACTCAGGTTGCTCAGCCTGCTTCCCATATTTTTAGTTGTAAAAACTGTAAAAACAATAATCCTTTAATCTCAGTCAAATATATTATTAGAGTGACAAACTAATAACTTTAAGGGATACAAATACTTTCACAAGGGCATCAGTGTGTAATCTCTAAAAGTAAATAGACTGGCAAATATTTCCTATTATTGAAAGATTCTCTACAAGAATATCAATCATAATATCCATCTCCAAAATTATACTTTTCAGTTTTGGAAAACAGTTTAACGCACATCGCCCGAATAGAAACGGAAAAATCTGTGGCAGGTTAATTAAAAATATTTATTTAACTGAGTTTAATCATTACTATTTCCATTTTTTCATTATGTCAATACATTTTATGACTATTCTATATTTTACTCCCAACAAAACTAAATGAGAACAATTTAGAGAAAAGTAAAAGAGTGCATTACTCTGAGGAAGGTTTTTTTTTTTTTTTTGTCAGCAATTTGGGATCATTTGGTTATTTTAGAGATTTCGTCCATGATGGAGAGTCATGCGTTCTGCATTTCTGCTCCGTGTATGGAAAACCAAATCATCACATAACTCAAGGAATCTGGGGAAATTTCAGTGAGTAAACAACCGCGGCCTAAGTTTAGGCTGGACAACCCAGATCATCAATCGTTCTGACAGCAACGTATCAGGAACCATCACTCATGTTGGAGCTGATTTATATACAGAGATTAAAAAAAAGAGAATACATTAAAATGTTAGACCAGTTTCTGCTGACTTTAAAGTGATGTCTTTACCAGCAAGAGCAAAGCGAAGCAGAATCACCGTCTGAACATGTTCCAGAGGGATCGCTGCAGAAAGAGGGGACGTGTTGTGAATGTCAGTTTTATAAATGTTCCACTAAAACTCCAAATCACATTTTCTTCCAATCATGTTTATTATTATTATTATTATTATTATTATTATTATTATTATTATTATTGGTTTGCATTTAGCAGCTCTGCTTGCATTTATTAGATTTCCAATAAAACCTGAAGGCAAAGAGTCCATTTTCACTAAATGCCTGAGGTAGAATAAAACCCAAATCAGAGAAACTGTCAGGATTCATCTAATTTAGTGAAGTCATGTTTTGAAACGTAATAGAAAAAAATTCAGAAGAGGAAGAAAACAACAAAATATTCTTCTCATCTTACAAATAATTACAAATAATTGTTATTTTAATATACAAACCAATAAAAAATAAAGGAAAGTAACTTAGCACACCCTTTTAGTTTTCACTTAAGTATTTGTTTTGTGTTTGTTTCTTTCTGTGCTTGAAGTGTTAATTAAACGACATGTCGTCCTTCAAAAATTTGAAATGTCACCCAGAAGTGAACTTGTCAAAAGGTATTTTAGCCTGCTGTCCATGTTCTAATTAAGTCATTTAATCATCATTACTCTAGATTGTGTTTTTGTCAGGGAGTTGTTTTAGAGCAGAGATGACACGCACTTGTCTAAATGTGTGACAGAGAATTTCAGAGGAATCCAATCAACTTTTTTTTATTTTATTTTTTTTCACATGGCTTTATTTCATGTGATGAAGTTGAACAATTGTTTTCACAGACTGAGAAAGTCTCAAATCTGCCTGACATGATCCACAGATGCAATGCTGACAATCAGAGACAACTTTAGACATTTGTTTTATGTCAGAAATACTTTTATTCATTAATTCACAATTCTGTTGATTGCTGAAAACAAAATAACAGAATATTTTTTTCTTGACAGTACCACAGTTTATGTGCAAGCAATTTAGCAAATTATACATTTATATTAAAAATGTGCTTCTGGTGGATTTTCATTTTGTATTTGGGGCGTTGAAATACACATTGAGGGTCCATACGTCAATGTCATTACAGAATGGAAAAGTTGATGAATGTGTCGGCATGCCAAAAAGCATGACAGGTGCATAAAAATACAAAATAACAACAGATGATACAAGTTCCCTGTCAGCAAATAGTTAGCAATCCTTCACTGCTTGTCTTTTTTTTTATACCTTCTGCTTAGTTGCTCACACTGACTAAATAACTAACTCTATCTGTTATCAGCACTCGCCAGGCGGATAATAATTTGACCACAACACTTTCCAAAACTGGTAAAGAAAGGACTGATGAAAATGTTCAGTATGCTGGCCCACACCGTCTGGATCCACTGCATACTGATGAGAAGAAGCTGCACGCCGGGCATGATCAGCCTGGAAGGACACAAAGGGGAGGAGAAAACATAAGCAAACTCTCAAGTAAAGTTCCCTCCAGGGAGAAACAACATATTGAAAAGAATGCAGCTGCAACCTTCACAAAGTGACCTCTATTCGTTAAAAGTGTGCCAACCAGCTCGACCGGCTCGGCTTCATGTATTTGTACCCTCGTATCTGAGCTTCAGGTCCTACCAGATGTGGAGGCAGCTGAGGACAGCAAAGAGCAGCCCTGCGGTCAGCGACACCGGCACCGCCAGCACCAGGGAGATGAAGCGGTAGCCCCACAGTCTGGACACCTCGAACAGGGCGTGACTCCAGAGCCAGACTTTATCAAAGCTCCGCACTGAAGGGGGCTCTGCAATCACGTCCTCAAACATGACCTTAAGGCACAGGCAAGAACCAAGGATTTTCATTAAAATGCTGTTATTTACGGGGCTGGTGGTGGGGGTAGTGAGCAGAATGACATGGATGCATATCTGTAAACAAACAAAAACGAAAAAATTCCTTGATGTACTTAGTTCTAGGATACTAACAGTTTTTAGTCTGAATCAGATGATCTCATGTGCTAGATCAACACAGAGTAGAAAATTCTTGTGAGGACGACAAAAAAGATAATTTTACAATATAAAAATCTAAAATTGTGTAACAAAACATCTTGAAAGCCGGCTCGTAACAAGCAAGATAAGTCAAACTTGAGTATTTTCAAAAATATGTCAATTTTGAGGTTGTTTTATGTATTTATTACTCTGTAGTGTTATTTTGTGCTTCAACATCAACCTGCTGCCAGCGGGACTAGAGATGAAAATTAGCCACTTGGCTGCAATCTCATGTCCCATTTTGTCCCGTTTTTAAAAATAAACTTGAATTTAGATTTATATCCACCCCCTTTTATTGCGACACATCGAAAGAAAGTTATGCAGCCAGTTATGTTCCTGCATAGCCTAATTACTAAATAATGTTTACTAATTTGTAAATTAATGTCAACTTAATATGCAGCTGTTTTGTAATGCCCTCAGGGGTTCATTAAGGCAAAACGAAACAATGTGTCACAGAAAGCTCTCACTGAGCAAACCATTGTCCTGGCATGATTTAGAGAGACCGATTGATCCAACATACATATTTAATTAAATAAATATTGTCATATATATGGATTGAGAGACTGCTTTGAACAATTGCTTTCTCATGGGGAGATTGCCTAACATCACCACAGCAGGCTGCAGGCACATATTCTCCTAAAATCTATTTACAGACACGTCTCATCCAACCTGACTGAACTTGAGCTATTTATCAAACATTGAATGTGCAGCGGTTGTGACGTAGAGCGGGTGCACAAACACAAACAAACGCACACAAGACTTTTCTGGTTTGCATTTGCAAAATAAATCGTGAACCATTTAATAGCCGAGTTTTGAACTATTTTGACATCAGTCTGTTCAAACACTTTTGAATTGGATTTGAGATTTGAAATGTAAAATACATCATCAGTTGTTGATGTATGTTACATCAACAACTGTTGATCTTACCTAATCTAAAGGTAAGATTAGCACAAGTAATCTTACCTTTAGATTGCTGTTGACTCTGTTGGGGTCCCTGTCTTCAATCTGGGATCGTGAATTGCGGTGGGTGAAATCCGGACCCTCATCCACCTTCACTTCCATCAGCTCCCCCGATTTCAGTCTGTCCTCGTCCATCGTCGTTCGGCTGTGGCCCAGCTCGGAGTCGCTGGAAACATGAAGGACGAGCGAGTGCAGCCAGCCGGATGACAGGCTCGTGGTTGACACCCAGGTGGGACATGGCACACTGATGACCGCTTTGACCATTTCTGAGCAATGCTTTTATTGGCTTTGTGCGATGCACAATCAGTCTGCTTTGTACCTGCATGAGAAGTGTTAATCTCGGAGGAAGTGGGATCAAACAAGAGTTTTGTGGGAGAGATTATGATGAGTGGAAACAATCAGACCTCACAGACCTTTAATCAGGCGAATGGTGATGATGTTTGTCAGAGTTTTAAATACACACAGCCAAAACGCAGCAGGGTTTGGAAGAAGCTGTTCTGCTAATTGCACATCTGAGCTGAATCCCCAATTTTTTCCTTATTCAACAATATGCCGCAGAACACCAATTTGTATATTTTATGCATTTGTTTCAGAGAAAAAAGTAAAGTGTCTTACATAAAATGTGACAAGTTAGCAAAGCCAATTTTCAACTTTCTTTTTTAAAACCTAACGCACTTTCTTTCTTACGCGTATATCAACAAATTGCTTCCCAGGTTTTAAGGCCCTGATGTATTTTTTCAGAATATGACCTTCACCAAAATACCATTAGAGAGGCTCTGGAAACACAATGACACATAGTCAGATGTCATCCATGAGTCATCTTTACTTTCTACATTATACGTTTTTTTGTTTTTGTTTTGTTTTTTTGTTTGTTTTAACGGCAAACTTCAGCAGACATCTCAACATAAAATTTTAAACAAAAAGCCACCTGACATCTCATCAGTCTTTTTGGGATGTTATTGTAACGTTAAAAGAAGATTATCCAACATAAATCTGTGTGTTTGTAGCTTATTGTTTTTAAGCAGATCTCGACTCAGACAGAAGATAGAGCAATTCATTGCCACACTGCGCCCTCTGTTGGCCAGAATATGCAGCTTGTTTACCATGTTGAAAGGTTTCTGTTGTCGGGAGCAGCGATTTAATCAGCAGTCTGTATTTTCGTCATGGACAATGCCTAAGTTAATGACATAATTAAACCTCACAACAGCAGTGATGGTAGCAGATGTTCCAGTGAGATAATAAATAATAGTTTGTGAGAAAGTGCTTGCAATTCTTATATATATATATATATATAATAAAATATTTTTTTTATTCAAAGATGTATATAGTTTGACACATGCATATCAGACAACAACCAAATAACTGTTTAAGGTGTGAAATGTTTAAATAGTCACAAAAATATAAAAAGTGATTTTCATAAAGAGGCACATCAAAATGAATGATATGCAAGAACTTCTGTGTGGTAACACTGCAGCTCAGGAACTGTATTTGGTTATTCTTCATTACAATAAAGCAGCAGCAATACTGTAAAATGTGTTACTCGTGTTTTATTATAATATTACAGCATGTTAAATGGTCAAGTAGTCTATTAGTACAGAGTTCAAAATGGAGGACATTTTTACTCATCAAAAATGTTGATACTAAGATTGTCTCCTTTTGTCACTTTAAATAAACGTATTTAATTAATTATTTCTTTATGTTTCTTCTTGCTTATTGAGAAATATGGCATGTAGTATTAGTTGTCTTGTTTCAAAACACACCGTGCCTGTTGACATGAAAACTGTCACCTTTGCTACCGTTTAGCTTGTTGACACAAAAAGAGAAAATCAAGTCTTTCCAGATGTTTCCCTGAGGCTGTGGAGGAAAGTGCAGTGCTTCGTTAAATTACTATAACAAAATAAATCTGTTTAAGCCCCATTTGCCTAGGATTTACTCTAGTAGCATTCAGCCTTCATATTGTTGCATGAAGTTGGTTGTGCTGTTGTCTGTGTCTACGAAAAGCACTTCTTGAGCAAAACCTTCACTCATTAATTTACTTTGAAAAATTCTAATAGTCTGTAAACATGTGGGTGGAGAAGACAGACGGATTCACACAAACTTGAAAATCTTTTCCCCTGAACGCCTTTGTTAAATCTTACAGGTGCAGTCAGAGCCCTGTCACTCCGGTTCATCCAAATTCCTTTGGAAAAAAAAAAAAAAAAAAAAAAACCTTCAGACATACTTTTATTTAGGAGTGTCTGCTGTGCTGAGATTTGTCCAACGTTAGTGCATTAGAGTGCACATAGATTGAGTGAATTATTACCTCGTGAATATTATTTTAAATAAAAATTTTAAAAAAATTCTGAAAAACATGTGTTTGCTTGTCAACCTAATGTTTTAATCACACCTACAGTTATGTAAGGGTGCGTATTCCTAAGTAACACCCGTACTGCAGAATGATGTTTGCTTATATTTGCTGTAACCACGAACGAGGGCTAATACAAACAGCGAAGGCCATAAAATAGCACTTTGTTGCCTCTCTTTGGTGCATTATCAACGCACCAGTAATGATTTTCTCTGCAGGTTTCCTATCTCTTCCTTCCCATATCCATGTCCAAATTACGTTGGTCCATATTCACGGGAACATGTGAGCTATCTTTGTTCACATGTAAATGAGCTTTATCGGACTCCGTCTGTATTTGAGCAGACTTGGATCAAAAGGTTATCCAAGGGGTCATTTTGTTGCTATGTGAGTCCATTTTATTTAATATGGCAACAGAGAGAGGCGACATCGAAACCTAATATTTGTTTTAAGTAGGAAGTCTGAGGGGTTATCCCTACCTTCTCTCCCTAAACAAGACAAAGATTAATTATGAAATATACCACAAGGAGGATAATTAAGACTTTTCAAACCCCATCTACTACTTGAATATTGTTTTTTACGTATAAATATTACCGATGATACAAGAAATTCAATAGTGTCATTATGGTGGCAATGTTAAGTCAGATGGGACACAATCATGTATTTTTGAAACTGAATTATCCATCAGACAATGTTTTTTTTTTTTTTTTTATTGCTGTTAATTCCAAAATGTACATCTTTACCAAAGCTTTTCTATAATCTCAGTTAAAATAAGACCAGTTTTGAAATGCATGTCAGATATCAAAAAGGGAAAATTGCAGTGAACAGTTTTAGACAAAAGTTTACACACATTCATCTTGGTCATTAATGCCTTGACAGGTTTGTGGCCTTTAACCATTTAAACAATTTTCTATATATATTTCTGAGATTTTTTACAAAATCAGAATTGAAAATATAGGTTGAAATTAACAGTGGATTTTCTACCAATTTGAACATATAAACATAAACATATAAATAATGTGCTTGGGTTCATTTCAGCTGATTAATGTTAGTCTTGCTTTATCCATTCCAATGTTTTGATGTTTGTTTTGGGCCTTTGTCTTGTCAGGACACACAAATGTGCTCCAGTTTCAACAATCTGACCCAAAGTACCACCCTTAGCTCAAAGAAAGGGATTGTTACAAAACAAACTAGAACTCTAGTCGTCATAAAATGGAGGATTCTGGGACTTCAGTGTCAAAGTCCACAGCAAAAGAAGTTTTAAATTGCCACTGACCAATAGAGTGATAAAAAAAGAGGAAATAAAAAGTTCAAAAGTGACGTCTTTCAGCATGACTGAAGTTTGCAGCTGTCCACACAGGAAGTCAAATGCTTTGTGTGAAAACCTTTCACAGTCACAGGAGCCTTAACTTCCCCGTGTTTGACCACAATGCTTGGAGAAGTCAAGGTGAGGGTTTATATAGCTCATGATTAAAAGACAAGTGTGTGATAACCAATTTAAAATAAATCTGGTCCATCAGAATTACACAAGAAGCTTGTTGATAGCTAAAATAAAGGTGCAACTTCCCTCTGTCAGAACTTGTTGAAAAAAATCATAGAAACAGTTTGTATATTTCTACCCTGAAAAAAGAAAACTGTAGGAAGCAACCAAAAACAAAAAGACTAGACCATGATGAGTACATGTAAACCTTTGACTGAAACTGCAAATATGTTGGTGTTACATTGCCATCTTTGTTTTCGTGGTGTTTTTTTTTTTTTTACAAAAAAAAGTAAACAATAGAAATAATCAAGTTAGTAAAGAGCATAAATATAAGAGCATTTTATACAACAAAGTAATGTAAGAAATAAACAGCCCATTATCACATTTTGCTGTTTTGTGTGAACCTAAATATCCAAATGCTGCTGTTGCTGTGGGACAATGAAGGCTATTTCTATTCTATCGAATAACAGGATAAAGAAACATTTATATAATGAGTGTACAGGTAGTCTATGCATGCTCCTCTGGTATTTGTCCTGGAATAATGTTCACCTGGTTTAATGTGGGACTGGAGTTAGAGCAGCTGGAGCGTCTTTCGGGCATGCTGGTGGTCCTCTGAATGAACTGAAGGAAGTTTTCCTGAAACGAGGCCTCCTGGCTGGACGCTCCAACCTCTGTGGGCTGGTTCAAGCAGCAACGTCGAAACTTCACCAACTCGTCCCTGATTTGTCTGTTTAAGAGGCCGTAGAAGAACGGGTTCACTGCGAAAGAAGAGTAAGCAAGCCAAGTTACGGCCTCCTCCAAGTCCCCCGGGCTCTGCATGGAAGCGGTTAGAGACATTTGGACGTGGAAAATGAAGTAGGGCAACCAGCAAACCAAGAACTGGCCCACGATGAACACCAAGGTTATCGCAGCTTTTCCTCCGCTGAAGGCTCTTTCTGGAGACAGTCGTTGAGGCAGAGTGCGTGTGGTGGCGATCATGGTTGTTTGGCTGTTGATGGAGTCAGAGCGGTCCTTCGCAGGGCACGCATTCACCCATGTTGGCGCAGCTGGGACTTGCTGCAGAGCTGCTGAGCGAGCAACCTTATACACAGCACAGTACACACTAAAGATGACCACTACAGGAGCTAAGAAACAAATCACACTGAAGAGCACTCCGAATACTCTCCTCAGGCGGCTGTGGGTGGCATGAAGAGAGCAGTGAGCTGCTGCAATGGAGCTCTGAGGACCGTACGCCGGCCATCCAAACAGCGTGACCAGAGCCAAGACGACCGATTTAACCCAGATCAGCACCATCACACCAATCGCAAGGTTGATGGTCATCTTGACTTCGTAACGCATCGGGTGCACAATGTAGAAGTAGCGCTCCAAGCTGATGGCGGTGATGGTGAGGATGGAGAGGCAAATGAGGAAAACATTGAGGAAGATGTAAACCTGGCACTCCAGAATGGTGAACACCACCGTGCCGAAGAACGGAGAGCTGGAGATGATTCCCAGAGGCATCAGGAGGATGGCGCATAGCAGATCCACTGCGCACAGGTGACAGACAAACGCAAACTTTTTCAGGTGAGGAGCGCGAGCTATGGCCACCATCACACCGGTGTTGGCCACCAGGGCGATGAGGTTAAGCGTCACCATGCAGAACAACCCGAAAAGATCCTTGATCTGTGACTGGGAGCTTGTGACGACGCCGACATCGGCGGGGACGGTGGGATCGGTGGAGTTTGCGACAGAAGGATCTGTGACAGAGGAGATCATGGACCCCGTCATGTCCGCCATCATTTACCGACTTCCTCCTCCATTTTCAGCTCTGATTTTCTCATGGGTGAAATATCTGTGTTGAAATAGGGAAACAGATTTTACTTTAAATTTTATTATTAAATGGAGAAAAAAAAAAAGTTTTTTTCAACCACAACCATTTCATAGACAGACACATTCAATAATTTATTGAATATGTGTTGATGAGGCTGGATTCCCAAGTACTTAAAAAAAAAGAGGCTATTAAACACACTTTTCATTAGGCTGACATTTTTGTCTTAAAATAACTTTTTAATGTTCTGATATACTTATCCATAAATTTGTTTCCATTAGATATCAGCAGAAAACCATAATAATTTACAGAAATAAAGTTTGAAGACATCAACCTGTGTGTAACTAATCTTTATGTGTTTGTGAACTGAGTTGCTAACAAATTTTTACTAACATTCTAATTTACTGAATGTGACGGTAGTAACTGAAACAAAAACTATTGGAAAAAGTTGACAGATTATCAGCATTTTTGATAAATGGGTTGCTTTGTGATCAAACAATTAATCATGTAGTTTATTTGTATTCAAACCCCTTTTCTCTAATGCCAAAAATGAAATCATGCGCCGTCAATGGCCTTCATAGTTCAAATCTGCACAATTCAGTTCAGTTTATCAGTATGTTTCAAACATAAGTCAAATTATAGAAACAAGTTTTGTGAGGTTATTTTTTAATAACCTCACAAAACTTATCAGGTTTTAGTATGTGGAAGTAAAGGCATATAATTCATCTGCTCCTTTGGGCTATACCACTTACTGACAAACACTTCAGGTTAACTTGCAGTGAAATAAAAATGTCAACAATTTTCAGAAGATGGGTATTAAGATGCTTTAATGTTATGTTTTAGAAGAGCAATAAGAAAAGCAATATTTTGATAAAACTGACTTACCCCTGGTTCACTCTCAGTTTGTTGTTTAAACCAGTTGCTTTGAGTTCAAGGATTTTTTTTTTTTTTTTTACAAAAGTAAACAAAATAGATGCTTTATCTCATTTCTTAATCAAAAGTATATAAATCATATATCCATCTCTGTTTAAAAAAATGTAAAACTTTCTAAAGTTTGGCTTTTCCATAGACAGGCACTGGAACTGCATTACAATTTATATTGCAAAGAAAAATATAAATGTACAATCCCATGACGGTTTTGGTGGTAAATTATTCTCCTCTTCCCTCGCCCCTCCTCTGTCCTGTCCTGTGCTGTGTATGGCAGTGACTGTCACACATTGTTTTGTGTAATGGTGCATGCTGAAGTTTTTTCCTCTTTTGCCATCAGACACACACACCACTGTCCCCCCACCAGCCGTCCCTGGGTCCTAACTCCTCCATCTTCTCAGTAACACCATAGATGCACTCTGTAGAATTTCAAAAGTCAGTTTTGTTATCAAAACATGAGAGATTTACCATAAAAGCATCAACAGCTATTCAACTTTTTCACATTTTGTCAATACAGAAGACTCTGGGTATTTTGTCAGGGCTACAACACAAAGCGGCGCATTACTGTGAAGTGAAAGAAAGAAAAATAAGCAGCATTTTAAAACTTTTTACAAATAAAAATCTGTGTGGGGTACTTTAATATCCCTTACTGAAATCCATTTTTACAAACAATGTGTGTGTGATTTAATGTGAATATAAAGCCTGATGTTCTGTGAAGACCTCAAGGGTTTGCTCAGGAACAGTAGAGATCAAACATCATCATGAAGACCAAGCAGACACTGAGTTATATTACATATTAATTGTTCAGTTAATGAACTGAAAATGTTCTACTAAGCCCACAAAGACACAAAAGTCCATGTAAACTGACCTAGGAGAGCATTAATCAGAGGTCACTGGCATTTCTTAAAGCTCTACAGAGACTCATGATTAGTCCCACACTGCACAAATCTGACCTTTGTAGACGAGTTTCACAGCGAAAGCTACATGAACTCTTGTTTTCATTTCACCCCACACCATGCAGGGGCCGCAGAAAACATGTGGAAGAAAGTGTTCTGGTCAGATAACAACTTTACAGAGCAACTTGGAAAAATCAGCTGTTAGAGTTTGCAAATGACTCAGAGTGGAAGTTTCCTTGAGAAAACAAAGGTATGATGAGCAGTAATATATATATATATATATATATATATATATATATATATATATATATATTATTGCTCATCATATCTTTTTTTGTATATATATATAAAAATACACATTCATGACATGGTATGCTTAAATGCAGGCAAGCTCTGCATTTTAATTTATTGAACCCTTCAAGGAGTTTGTCAGTGCAAAATAAACAGTTTGTTGGTCAGCAGGTTGCAGCATTTTGACACAGTCCAAAATCTCAATTATGTAAAGATGTTAGTAATTTGCATATGACATCACTTTTGATTACCTCCACAATCTGTTTCTACTGGTTTAACAAACAGTTCGTCATTATGAACCACAGGATAAGCTTCCCACTACTTCTGTAAACACAAATGTACATTTCCTTTGATCCTGCTATACTTTTATTTAAAATATGGAGGTGAAAATCCATACTGGAAGTGACGTTTAAATAACGAAAATGTATATTTTTAGAGACCGTTTTGTCAACCCCTTTTGCAACCTCAAAGTGTTCCAAACAAAACCTTCGTTATTTTTTTCTCCTCTCTTGTCAGTTACTTACAGCAAGGCAGATATTGCACATAGCTATATCTACTCTGCTTTCATAGCAAAATAATAATCATTTTCCAAAGGCTAAGTATGTACCTTTTTGGGGTTAAGTTGAGGGATATCCTTCAAATCCCCTAGAGTGCAAATAAACCCTTTCAAGATGTAAGAATAGTCAACTCTAAGTTACCAACACATTAAAGCAAACACCTTCTATGCAGTACAGAGTAGTATATTATTACTGTTATTAAGATTATCATCATTTACTAACAATGTGCAAAGCCAAAGTACATTCTATGGGTCATGCATACAATTATAAGGCACAAAGAGAAAGAAGCGCTTATGCAACATGGTAGGATTAGCTATGCTCTGATGACCTGCACAGCCTCGTTGTTAAACTGAAACTGTTAACGCATTTCTATCTCGAGCAGGAAGCGAAGGCGACACTGGCTCTCTTTGTAGATCAGGTATTCGCTGTTGCTGAAGCTGCTGTTCCTGTATTGGGGCTGTTTGATGGCTTTTCCCTGAGGAACAGTAACCTGCTTGTCCTCCAGAGTGATGACGGTGTCCTGAGATGGGTCTGCAAACAAAACGGACAGAACCACATAGGCCTCTTAAAGCGCTGGGGTGCAGAATGAAAACTCAGATTTGATCTTCCACTGTTTTTTTTTATTACTTAGAAAAAGCAATCAATAATAAAAATTAAAAAAAAGAACATTACTGCATTTTCAGGGCGAACCTTTTGAGTTTTGTGTAAAAACAAAAAACACAATCGAAATGTGTTCAAAGTTTTTTTTTCTTTAAAAAAAAAAGAAAAAAGATATATGACAAAACTTGAATGATTTTCTGTCTTTCAATACAAAAAATGCTTTAAAAATTTGTAGTTTCATAGATTAAAGGGATGTTTGTTGATTCTGACAGTCAGGAATCCCACAGTGCATTCCTGACTGTCTTGATGCGTTTATGACCCTTTAGATGATCAATAGGTTGTTTCAATGCCTGATGATAAATGCAGAGGGCTCCAATAAATATAACATATTCCTACTATGGACACTTTCTCAGTCAGGAAACTTTTTGAACTTGCTTATTATTTTTTAAAGTTGTAACTTTAAGTGATGATTCTGTGTAACTAAAATAGAGGTCTGCCCTTTTATTCCTTAGACCAGAGGTTCCCAAACTGTGGGCCCTGCCCCCAAGGGGGGCACCATGCCATTGCAGGGGGAGGGGGGGGGGGCACGAGAAGCCGTTTGGATGAAAAAAAAAAAACATGAACACTGTATGCGCTGGGTTTTTACCTTAGAATTGCCAACTCTCTGTTATTCCTATGTCAATTTGATACAGTAGAGGCTTCCACACTTCCCATATCTGTGTCCTCTGTCACTTTTATAAACAGTTAAAACTGTTTAATCCGTTGTTAACATGTTGTAACCTGTTTTTCCGAGCCGCCTTTAAACGCAACATGAGCGCTACGACGCTCGCGCTGGGTTTCCACCTGTGAAGGAGACCTGCTGCTGCTGGGCGGAGCTACGTAGGTTTGTGTTAGAATCACGGCAGCAAACCAGCAAAACGCCAAGAACTTTTCACAGTTTTTAAGCTGTTGGATGCAGGTATTGTTAGCTAAAAGATGACTAGCTAATATCAATACATCACCTTAAGCTTAACAAGTAGCTTGTAGGCTGCTGGTGGTGTTGTCCATGTTCAGCTACGATTCATTTTGCCCCCCAAAAAGTTGATTCCCCCCCTTGTTTGTCTGGAGCCTGTGCTGAGTACAACAGGGAGTCTCTAAGAATCCACCCCCCACCCCCTTTGCTCACACACATCGTTCAACCAGACAGCTATTTGTACGCCAGAGGGGGGGCCCAGAAATAGTTTAGAAACCACTGGGGGGACCCAGGAGAAAAGGTTTGGGAACCACTGACTTAGACGATTTACATGTGGTTAATTACATTGAGAATACATCTGAATAACAAAAACTAACTCAACATTTGTTTGACTATTAATCAATTCATGGTCACATGTTGCTAAATTCAGTCTCTGATTGGCTGATAAGGCTTGATTCTGTTTTTCTGTCCTGAGAACAGGAAGATGAGTGAGACAAAAACTCCCAGATTAAAATGCTACGTCGACCCCGTCAACACCTGGTCTGTTCAGCCCCATCATGTTTGGCTGCATATTTGTTTTTGTTCAAAATATACTTCACATTTCTTTTTCTTAGAGTTTGTTAAAGAAAAACCTTTTTTTTTTTTTTTTTTTACTCCAAAATAGTATTGCATTTATTGAAAAAAAGGTTAAGACATTTATTCAATGTAATCATTATAGTTTTGAATGGTCATTCACATGTATGGTGTAGATCACAGATTAAAAAAAATGTATATGCTCCTTGGTTATGTGTAATTAATTTAATTGCAAATCTCTTTGTCCATTATTTACATTCTCCAATAAAATCAAACCCAGTAAGGAGAAAAGAAACTTAAATAGTTTTTTTTTTTTTTCAAAAAAACAGGCGAGACTGACCAACTTTATTAATGACTGACAAATTCTTGATATATTAATTTAACTTAAAGAAGCCATCAATTCTGCTGCCGTGTTGTTTTGTGAATATTGGAATAAGAGCAAGAAGATCTTTCGTATGCCAAAGATTAAAGGCATAACTTCAACACCTAGAGACCTTAAGAGTAGGGTCATTTGTAAATTTGTAGTATGTTACTGCATCTTACCTGGTTCCATGAGGCCTCGTGCTACCACACTGTGATAACCGGCAGGAGCCTTCTTCAAGGTACAGTCATCTCTGGTGATGGTGAACTCATTGCCAAGAGCTACCTCACTCAGAAACATCACTCCAGTGTTGTTTGAGGGACGCACTAGCAATGAGTGAAATGCATTTCAGCTAAGTACAATACTATGATCTCAAAAGATTTCAAAGAAACTGCTTTCTTAGGAGATTTCTTACCGTAACCTAGAGATTTTGCGTTTTCAGAGGCAAAATAGATCCCGCTGCCAACACGGCCCCCCGAATGGGGCATGATCCTGAGACCGCTCTTCAGGATAGCTGCCACCACCGCTATGTTTGTCCCGTGCCACAGCAGGCGGCGGTTCTCGAGACTCTCATTCTCACTGAAGCGTTCTCCCTGAAAGTCACAATGTGTTGGTTGAAAGACTTCTGGACTCCTTCACTATAAGTGCAAAACTGGCAGGAGTGCCTCACACCTCTTTCTCTCGGTCCACTTCCCAAACATTGAGTAACTTTGGCTTGCTATAGCTACACGTAGTTGACTTCATGTATTTCTCGATTATCTTCGAATGCAAAAGGCATGAAATACTTCAGTAATTGGAACATGACAATTATTTTAGCAGTCAATAATGCTAATTTAGGACACAATACCTTATAGATTTCTGTATTTTTGGCCAGCAAGGAGAGCTTGCATTTCAGAGACATGTAGTCTTGGTCGATGGGATGAGGAACCGTCTCCAGCATCTCATCCTGAGCCTTCTCCGTTTCTGACTTCAGAGTCTGGGCCAGCTCAATGTCTGCCAGCACCTGAACAACAACATTGAAACGGACATTAGAGCTGACAAAACTTTATGTAAAAAAGACAAGAAATCACTCTAATTGAAAATCTTACCATAAGCATCTCCTTCTTCTGTTCAATAATCTCTTTGGTGTCAATGGCTGGCGGTCTGCTCCTGCCAAAGTTGTGGGGAATTGTGGTGAAGAACTTTGATGAGAGTTCTTCAAGGCGTCCTCTTCCACCTTTTTGGCTCATAGCAGCTTCGATCTCCTCCAAAACTTCAAAGCCTTTTGCTATTTGGGCCTTACTGAGTTTACCCAAAGGCATCTTCTTGATGTCTGTAAAAATAAAAACCATGTACACATACCACTGGTCAAATCAGGGGTTTTAATATCTTTATTGTGCTAATAAACACATGCCCACAAAAAAACAGAACTATTCTGAAAAGAGTAAAAAAAAAAAACTTATCAGACCTACATTTTAATATGCAAAGATAAGAAGAAGCCAAGGTGAACCTTTGTTTCTAACAATGGTTAATCATTTGCATGTTGTAACCTGATCATGTAGATCTTAACTACACTTTGAAACTAAACTTTCATGCATGTAGCATAACAGCATTTTAATCTACCCAAAGTTATAGGAAGCAGTTAGTTTAAAATGGTTGGTTAAGTGAGACAAACCCACCTAAATCCATGCATTTCATTGCCTCCTTGAACATGTCATTGCTGAAAATGAGCTTAATAAGATTCTGTGTTGCGCCATCAAGAGTGCATGGGAGGACATTTTTTGAGACTTTTGCATCAACAGTGTCCACCTGTGGAGCAAAAAGTACATCTGAAAATATATCTAAGGATATAAATAAAATATTAACAGCGAGTTACTCAAAGCTTCAGAAATTAACTGTTGCAACACCTTGACCTCAGCGTCCTGCTCTCCGTCCACCTCAATCAGTGTGTACTTCC